ATTAAGGTTTTCAATATAGTGTCTGTCTTCACCTTCTGAAATTTGTCCTTGCTTTCCCTTTTCGTATGTTTCATATAATCTGGAGAATGGATTTGCCAATTTCCTCATGTAGTAACAGACCATACTATGTAATCTGTGTATTATTTTATTCAATTAAAATTTCTTTTCTTTTCTGTTTTTTTTTTTTTTTTTTTTTGGAGAGACAACGTCTTGCTCTGTCACCGAGGCTGGGGTGCAGTGGTGTAATCATAGCTCATTGTAACCTTGAACTCCGGGGCTCTAGTGATCCTCCTGCCTCAGCCACCTGAGTAGCTGGGACGACAGGCACATGCCACCATGCCTGGCTAAATAAAATAATTTGTGTGTGTGTGTGTGTGGAGATGGGTTCTTGCTCCTGGCCTCAAGCAATCTTCCTGCTTCAGCCGCTCAGAGTCCTGGGATTACAGGCATGAGACACTGTGCCTGGCTCTGTGTCATTATTTTAAAGACGTTTTTCTGTGGAAGCCAGCCAAAGCTTTAGATCAGCTCAAGTATAAATTTGAAAATGAGTTCTGAACGTTGTATACTTTTTATTTTGTTTTGTTGCCGGGTAGGAGATAATCAGATTATAATGTTTAGTGCCCAACAAGTTTAGATGTTCATGTTTTTCCTTCCTAATGTGATTTTCTTATTCTTTATTACAAGACATGCTTCTGGGCCAGGCACGGTGGCTCACAGCTGTAATCCCAGCACTTTGGGAGGCCAAGGCGGGCAGATCACCTGAGGTCAGGAGTTCGAGATCTGACCAACATGGAGAAACCTCGTGTCTACTAAAAGTTTAAAAATTAGCTGGGACGTGGTGGCGCATGCCTGTAATCCCAGCTACTCAGGAGGCTGAGGCAGGAGAATGGCATGAACCCAGGAGGCAGCGGTTGTGGTGAGTAGAGGTTGTGCCATTGGACTCCAGCCTGGGCAACAAGAATGGAACCCCATCTCAAAAACAGAAAAAAAATGATGCTTTTGGGCATATGAGTTTTAATGTGTTGATTGCCTGTTAATATATCACAGATTTCCTCTATTTGCTAACAGCCACTAGAATGTTTAAGGCTTATATAAAATTGTACTTTTCCAAAATGAAGCTGTCTACAGACTTTTGTCCTCAGAAGGTTAAACTGCAAGGTTGCCAGATGAAACTGTATTTTGTGTAGTTAGGAGTGCTGGCTTTATTTGACTGTGATAGTGACTTTGAGTCCCTGGAGAGCACATGGAAAGTACAGGAGGCAGAAACCAGGGCAAAACCCTGAGCGTCTTGCTCCCCAGAGACAGGAGCGATCCTTGTAGCCTGTTCCTTGTTTTCTTATGTTTTAATTGTTGTGTTTACTTGTTTTTTAATTTCCTTAAGTTTGAATACAGTTGAAATCACATTACAGTTGGCTCTCTGTATCTGTGGGTTTCACATCCACAGATTCAACCAACTGTGGATCAAAAATATTGGAAGAAAAGCCATAAAAAAAACAACAATAAAAAGAACAAATAAAAAATAATACAATGTAACAACTAATTACAGAGCATGTTCCTTGTGTTGGGTGCTCTGGTAATTTAGAGATGATTTTGTTTGTTTGTTTGTTTGTTTTGACATGGGGATCTCACTGGTGCCCAGGGCAGCAGGGTTATCATGGCTCACTGCAGCCTTGACCTCCTGGGCTCCAGTGATTCTCCCACCTCAGCCTCACAAGTAGCTGGGACTGCAGGCGTTGCCACATTGCCCAGCTAATTTCTGTATTTTTTGTAGAGCCGGGGTATTACTGTCTTGCTCAGGCTGGCCCCTAACTCTTGACCTCAAGTATTCTGCCTGCCTCGGCCTCCCAAAGTGCTGGGATAACAAGCATGAGCCACCACACCTGGCCAATTTTTTTTTTTTTTCATTTGTATAGATGGGGTTTTGCCATGTTGCCCGGGCTGGTCTTGAACTCCTGGGCTCAAGCGACCCTCCCGCCTCAACCTCCCAAAGTGTTGGGAGTATAGGTGTGAGCCACTGTGCCTGGCTGAGATGATTTAAATGACACGGGAGGATGCGCACAGGTTATATGCAAATACCACACCATTTTATATCGGGGTCTTGAGCATCCTAGGGTCTGGTGTGGAGCCAGGGTGGGGCAGGCCTGGTCCCAATCCCCTGCAGATACCAAGGGACGACTGTGCATGTTGTATTTTTGAAAACAGTTTGAGAGTAAATTAAACCAAGTGACAGATGAGATTCCTACCCATTTGGTAATAGTAGTGCCATGGTTCTTTCCCTCCTTCCTGACCGGCTGTGATGGTCATGAATCAGAGTGTCATGTATGGGTGGGCGGTAGGTGCTCAGATTCTCCAAGCACTGTTGTGTGTTTGTCAAATCAAACTGAGTTCCCTCAGCTGCAGAAATGACTGAGAGCCCAGCTGGTTTTTCTCTGTGCTGTTTCCTTTGTGATGACATAGTGTTGATGGATTTATTGGAATATATCTTTCATTAATTGGAAGAATTCCTAAAATTTAAAAAAAAAAGTCTTTTTTTGAGATAATTGTGGATTCACATATAGTTGTAAGAAATAGTATCGAGGTTCCTTTTACTGTTCGCCCCATTGCCCTCAATGGTAGCCAGTTGCAAACTACGGCACAGTCACCACAACTAGGGTGTTAACGCTGACAGTCTGCCTGCCTTCTTCAGGTCTTCCCAGTTTTACATGCTCTCAATGGTGTGTGTATTTCTTGGCAAATTTTTCACGTGTGGATTTTCCGAGACCACCGCTGCAATCAGGGTACATGGACAAGGGTCCTTAATACCCACATTCACGTCTTCTCTCCCCACCTTAACTGCTGGCAACCACTTATCTGTTCTCTGTGTCTATTATGTGATTTTTTGACATTGGTTTTTAAATTTTTTATTGTTATTATTGTAATTTTTGGAGACAGGGTCTCACCCTGATGCCCAAGCTGGAGTGCAGTGATATAGTCATAGCTCACTGCAGCCTCAAACTCCTGGGCTCAAGCAGTCCTCTCATTTCAGCTTCCTGAGTAGCTGGGACCACAGATGCATGACAACACTCCCAACTAATTTTGTACTTGTAGAGACCCCGGTCTTGTTATGGTTCCCAGGCTTGTCTTGAACTCCTGGCCTCAAGCAAGATTGAGTTTTTTCACTCAGCATAATCCCCTTGACATTTTCCCAAGGGGGTCATTGCATGTATCATTATTGCTGAGTAGTAGTTTTTTGTTTTTGTGTTTTTTGTTTTTGGAGACAGAGTCTCGCTTTGTCGCCCAGGCCAGGCTGGAGTGCAGTGGCGCAATCTTGGCTCACTGCAGCCTCCACCTCCCAGGTTCAAGCAATTCTCCCTCAGCCTCCCAAGTAGCTGGGACCACAGGCATGCACCACCATGCCTGGCTAATTTTTGTATTTTTAGTAGAGATGGGGTTTTGCCATTTTGGCCAAGCTGGTCTCAAACTCCTGACCCGAAGTGACTCTCCCACCTCCTCTGACCAAACTTGACCCATGTGCTTTCTCTTGGAAGGACTGTGTGTCCTGTTACATGTCTGTGTCTTGTCACGTTCATATTTCTCATTTTGGAGCAAAGATTTCTGTCTTCCAGGTACCCAGTGCCCTTCTCAGAGGTTCTTGTGTTTCTTGTCTGAGCTCCTGGTGCGTTATTCAGGCACTTGTGAGTAAGTGTGTACGGTTGCCCCTGACCAGCCATGTTCTTCTTTGCCATTTTCATTACACATTGTTTCTTGGGGGAGATCCTGCTATGACATCCCCCCCCCCCTTTTTTTTTTTTTTTTTTTTGTTGTTGTTGCTGCTGTTGTTGAGATGGAGTCTTGCTCTGCCTCCCAGGCTGGAGTGCAGTGCTGCGATCTTGGCTTACTGCAACCTCCGCCTCCCAGGTTCAAGCGGTTCTCCTGCCTCAGCCTCCAAGTAGCTGGGATTACAGGGGTGCTGCCACCATACCTGGCTAATTTTTGTATTTTTAGTGGAGACAGGGTTTCGTCATGTTGGCCAGGCTGGTCTGCAACTCCATATCACCTGTTTTTATAGAATTTCCGCTGATCATGAAAGCAAATTTTAGTAAATTTGGAGAATATAGTCTATACTAGCAATACTGTAATATACATATATTAGAAATATCGTGTAAAGTGTAAAATACAGTTACTTGCTGTGTATGATTGAGGTGAGATTATGCATTTTTGTATTCTAGCCTTTTCTCTCTTGTACAGGGTGGTTTTTATGGTGTACCATTTGCATAACCTTTTACAACATGCTGAATGAAACTGACTTGTGAAATTAACACACTCAAGTAGTGAAAAGCTTAAAAAGACACAGGAGGAGGCCGGGCGCGGTGGCTCAAGCCTGTAATCCCAGCACTTTGGGAGGCCGAGACGGGCGGATCACAAGGTCAGGAGATCGAGACCATCCTGGCTAACATGGTGAAACCCCGTCTCTACTAAAAATACAAAAAAACTAGCCGGGCGAGGTGGCGGGCGCCTGTAGTCCCAGCTACTCGGGAGGCTGAGGCAGGAGAATGGCGTAAACCCGGGAGGTGGAGCTTGCAGTGAGCTGAGATCCGGCCACTGCACTCCAGCCTGGGCGACAGAGCGAGACTCCGTCTCAAAAAAAAAAAAAAAAAAAAAAAAGACACAGGAGGGTGATGAGCACTCCCCTCAGAAGAGGGTGACTCCCAACGGGGTGGGTCAGGCACACGGGCTTCACCGTGGCCAGGAGCAGACCCCGAGTGGAGGACGCCAGGGCTGAGGTGAGCCAGGCTACCCTGTGCGGCTCTGCTGCTCTTCTTCCAGCTCCTCTTCGGCCTGGTCTCCCATGTGGGGTTTACTCTCCCTCCATTTATGTATTTATCTGTTTATCGTCTGCTTCCTCCCACTAGAATCTCCCTTTGTGAGGTCATTTCATGAGCATCTTCCCATGACATTTAAAATTCCTTGTGTATTTCTTTTATTCTTAAAGAGAAAACTTTTCCTTTGCAAAAGACATTTGATCAAAGTTGTTAAACAATGAAACTAAAAATCTACTTGTGATCCTGTCACTTGAGGAAAACCATTGGTCGGATTTTGCCCCACAGCCTTTCATGGTATTGATTTTATGTGGTGTCTGCACCCTCCGCTGCTGGCTGCTTGTATGTTCCGTGTGTCGTCTGCAGTTCCCGGCCTGGGGGCAAAGGTGTGGACGGTCTCGCCAGAGTGGGATCCTGAGCGGCGCTGTCTTTCGCCTTCGCCTTCCTGCGCAGGGCCTGGCGATCAGGTAGGGTCCCTGGTGTGGCACGTGGTTCTGCTTCCCTAACGCATCAACAGACTGGGTTTCGAGCTGGGTTCAGTCACCGTGTCCCCTTCAGCTGATCCCATGTGCTCTCTGTGCCTCAGTTTCCTTGCTTGTGAGATGAGAGGCTGCAGAGGCTGTTTGGCTTTTCACATCTGTGCTTTAAAGAAAAGAAAAGAGAGTGCATGCACCCCCACCCCCACACCAACCGCTATCTATCGGGGGAACCTGCTCCCGATGTTTAACGCGGGTTCTTTTCTATTTCCTGAGTGTCTCGGCTGAGGTGAGAAATAAAGGGAAAGAGCACGAGAGAAAAATTTAAGGCTGTGTGTCCGTGGGAGACATCACATGGCAGCAGGATCTGTGATGGTCCCCAAGCCGTAAAACTAGCAAGTTTTTATTAGCGATTTTCAAAAGGGGAGAGAGTGCACGAATAGGGTGTGGGTCACAGAGATCACATACTTCACAAGGTAATAGAAATATTACAAAGCAAATGGAGGCAGGGCGAGATCACAGGACCACCAGATGGGGTGAAACTAAAATTGCTAATGAAGTTTTGGGCACGCATATTCATCCTCCTCAGCTTACAAAGAAGATGATGAGATTAAGAGATTAAGGCAGGCATAGGAAAACACAGGGGTATTGATTGGGGAAGTGGTAAGTATCCATGAAATCTTCACAATTTACGTTCAGAGATTACAGTAAAGACAGGCGTAAGAAATTATAAAAGTATTAATTTGGGGAACTAATAAATGTCCATGAAATCTCATAATTTATGTTCTTCTGCTGCGGCTTCTTCCAGTCCCTCTGTTCGGGGTCCCTGACTTCCCGCAACAACTACCATGGAACACCCGATTCAGACTTAATTCTAGAAGAACGAGAAGTGACTGTGTTGCTCATGTGACAGCCGTGAAACACAGAATTGACTGGAACAGCTGCGCTGGATTTGGCCTGTTGAGTGAGGGATTGGAAAGGAACAGTGGCGTCTTCTCTCACTGAGGGGTGGGAAGCCCAGCGGGAGAGTAAGGGGGTTCGGGGGGCTCCTCTGACGCGTGTGTGCATCCAGGCGAGGATGCGGACCTCTGCAGTGAGCTGCTGCAGGAGTCCCTGGACGCCCGGCGAGCACTTCCCGAGGCCTCGCTCTTCGAGGAGAGCACCGCGTCCTCTGTGTGGCTGGAGGTGGTGGAGAGAGCGACCAGGTTCCTCGGGTCCGTCGTGACGGGGTGAGTTCTTTCCTTTCTTGCCTTCTGCACGCAGACAGCTGGCCTGCTGGAGGCTGGTTCTTACCACCCTCGCTTTAGAGCTAAGAAGCCTACTAGGTTGGTTTCTCACCTCTGTTTTCAGCGGGCTCTCGGTGCTGTGATTCCGGGTCTGGGTTCTCAGCTTTCCAGGCAGTTTGATTTATGTTTCTCTGACGAGACCCAGGAAGCTGTGATACTAAATGAGACGGACGAGGGAGGATGCTTAGAGATTTGGCCATCAGTCATTCGTGGAGGGTTGAGCGCTGACATTGTGCGTCTCTCTGTGATGATTAGGAGCTGCCGTCCTGAGTGCAGAGTGGTGCTTGGTTTGATCAAATTGTTTAGTCCTGTAGCCGGTCATTTTAGTAGAAAAGTTTTGAATAGGAATCATTTGTGTGTAAGGAAAACATGAACTCTGGTCGTGGGTGCTATGCATTTTTGTTAAGGTTTTTAAATTTAAAGAAAATATAAAATTCAACAGGAAGGACGGTGCAGAGGAAAAGTGAGGCCACTCCTCACTCTTCTTGCCAGAGGTCAGCACGGTGCCTTCCTGCAGCCGGCAGGGGGCCTTGGGCGTTCGCGGACGTCCCCGGCTGAGTCCAGTTCCTGAGCTTGCTGGTGAAGGCATCGCCACAGAGTTCTAACGCTGGAGGCCCTGAACTTAGGCTTGGAGTTGATTTCAAAACTTCAGCTGCAATATTGATGCCATAAGATCTTTTCTTTGCAGTCTTGGGATAGGATTTTAAAATACTTCATTGATGAGAGATAACAATTAGTGTAGGCATTTTGCCTCCAGATTCTCAGGTGGTTTTAGAAAGTGTTTCTCTAATTCTGTAGGAGAATGTTGATACTGTTGCAGTCTTACATGACATGGAAACTAGAAAACATAGCTAGATACTCTTCTACTCATGTTTTGGATAATGAGAGAAATTATTTTATGCTTCACACACTTGGAGTATGTCATCTACTGTAATATAGTATCTGAATGAATACTTCAAATACCTTTTTGTAAGCTAGTTGTACACTTTAAAACCTCTGAATAAATTTGACTAGCAAGTCTCAGAAACTTGATTCTAAATATTAAAAATACATCCTTCCTTGGGAGGGAGCGTGTAGGAAACGTGCAGTGTGATTGTAAGCATGCTGTCTCTGGAGGTCGCTTTGTTCCTGCATCCTCTGCTTTCATATTTCAGGGATGTTCACGGAACGCCAGGCGCCAAAGGACCAGAAGCGTCCCCCTGCAGGACCAGCACTTGGCCCTGGCCATCCTGCTGGAGCTGGCTGTGCAGAGAGGCACGCTGAGGTGAGGGCTGGCGCAGACTGGGAACGCTTTGGGGAAGTGCTTCTGTATCCAAATACCTGTAGCACTGTGTGCATTTCACTGAATGGTTTGTGACTGCAGCAGATGTGTGGTGCTCTGTAACCAGAGAACCACGTCCCAGAGCTCGCTCTCTCTTTACCTTTTCTTCACCTCCTTTTTTATGCTCCTTTTTCTAGTCTGGGAACTGTTCTTTTTTTTTTCTTTCAGTTTTCCTCATTTAATTGTTTTTATTCCATGAATTTAAGATCCTAGAGCTTTCATGTAAACGTGCTCTTTGAGCTTCTTAACTGATCTTTCCTATCAGCAGAAGGCGATGTCGTGTGCTAAAATCTCAGTGTCAATTCAGTCATTTAATTACCACGGCTTTACTTTCATTTCCTTCCAGATCCCAAGTATTTCTTCACTTCTATCTAGCTGTTTGCTTTTATTTTTGATTAACCATGAAAAAAAAAAAGTTAATGTGTTTTTACTAGGAATGAATATCTTTTCTCCTTTAGCCAAATGTTGTCTGCCATCCTGTTGTTGCTTCAGCTGTGGGACAGCGGGGCACAGGAGACTGACAATGAGCGTTCCCACCCAGGACACCAACGCCCCGCTTTTGCCCTTGCTGCAAAGGTTCCAGAGCATCATTTGCAGGAAGGATACACCCCACTCCGAGGGCGACATGCACGTGAGTGTGTATGATGGAACTTTGTGTTTAGGTGGCACTGGATTCTAGTTATTTTTTAAGCAAGACCAGCGTGCGTGTCCACGGCAGTGTTTTTTTTGGTGGAAACAGCAGCGAGTCACATGAGACAGGTGTGGGAGGTCACTTGTTTGTGGAGAAGACTTGAATCAGTGAACACCGACTTCCTTGTCAGCACAGAACCAAGCTTGAAACACGCACTTTTAAATCAGTACCAGAAAAGAACAACGAAAACAGTGGCCTGCTTTGTTGGCCCTTCCTGTGTACTAGGCTCTGTGCAGGGCATGTCACCTGAGCTGTCACTCTGTTGAGTACCAGTTCCCCACTTAACAGGTGTGGATGCCGCGCTCGGGGAGGAGCAGGTGTGCGGGGCCCTGGGCCTAAACCTCCAGGACTGCTGGTCCTTGCAGGTCAAGTACAGGTTGGATTTTGCCAGTCTTTTTGGGAAAGTCTTAGGCATTCCAGTATCGTGCTTTGGTTTAATTTTTCTATTATTTGGCAGTCTTGAATAATCATCGGGCTCTTCTGCCTATAGAAGAATTAGAATTATGATTTAATTTGCAAATGAAAATAGGTGTTTTCCAGAGTGGGCAAGGTTTAGATTAAAGTAAAGGTTTTGGTTTTGGATTTCAAGGCCAGCTTGAGATGCTGCGCTGGGTTCCCCCAGAGGTGGTTCTGCCTTTCTCCAGGGGTCCTAGGCCTGCGGGGTGGTTTGGTTGTGTTGGTAATCTGTGTGGACTCAACTTACTGTGGTATCATAAGTGTATACATGCACCGTCAATGTTGTGGACGTGTATATAGCAATTTAGACATTTGTGCAGTCAGTTTATATGCTGCATAAATATATAGATGTGTAGTATAACTGTATCATCGACATGGTCATTTGATGGGCCGCATGAGTAAATACCAAAATATAAAGAGTGGTTTTTTATTTTCTTAAGGGCTAATTGTATTACTTTAATTTTTGCCACCATTTCTGAATGTCTGTTTACTTTTCCTTTCTAGCTTTTGTCTGGCCCTCTGAGCCCCAGTGAGAGTTTCCTGAGGTACCTCACCCTTCCCCAAGACAGCGAGCTTGCCACTGATCTGGGACAGACCGTGGTTGTCGTCATGGGCCATTTAGACCGTCCGGCTACGCCCTGTTTGCCTCCGCTGTGTAGCGCTCCGACGTCTCGTAAGGTGTGTGCAAGAACCACGTTCTCCGTGTGTTTTGTGGCTAGTACCACCTCTAGGTTCTCATCCTGGGCCCGTGTGGAGACTTGGTTTTCTGGTGTTGATGGGGGAGCTGGCTTGTGGTTTTAAATGTGTTTGCAGTTGAAGGTGTTCCCCGTGTGGAGAGTGAGTGATGAGCAAGCTGAGGTGCACAGGCCTAGGGACCCAACCTGGGGGCCCAGTTTCCAGGTTCAGGTAGCACAGCCCCGGAGAGCTTCCCCTTATCTGCAGCCCCAGGCCCTCCCACCTTCTGCAGGGGGTTCCACAGCTTTCTTTATACTCTGAAGGCGGGCTGTCATAGTATGTAATGCTGGTTATGGTAGTGACAGTATAATTCTATATTCTATCTGTCATGTAATAGTAATGCTAATAGTAGTGATTTGCGTGTGTGGAGCACCTGTAGGGTGCAGGCCCGCTGAGGACCTCATGCATGCTGTTGTATCTCATTATGTCAATGAGAAAACTGGCTTTGGGAATGGTGGTGAACTTTGCCAGGGTATAACAGTAATCTTAGTTTTGAATCGATTTTTATAACATTTTATTTCTAATATGAAGAGTCTTTATTTTGTTTTACAGTCATTAAAAAAAAGGCCCCACGCGGTGGCTGACGCCTGTAATCCCAGCACTTTGGGAGGCCGAGGTGGGCGGATCACAAGGTCAGGAGATCGAGACCATCCTGGCGAACACGGTGAAACCCTGTCTCTACTAAAAATACAAAAAATTAGCCAGGCGTGGTGGCAGGCGCCTGTAGTCCCAGCTACTCGGGAGGCTGAGGCAGGAGAATGGTGTGAACCCGGGAGGCGGAGTTTGCACTGAGCCAAGATCCTGCCATTGCACTCCAACCTGGGTGACAGAGCCAGACTTTGTCTCAAAAAAAAAAAAAAAAAAAGGAATACAGTCACATGGTTCGAAAATCAAACCTAGGCAGAGACACACTGTCGCTTTCCCTGCCCACCCCTTCTACCCAGTTTCCCACCTGCTCCCTCTGACTTTCCAGTCTCCTCTGTAACCTCCTTGTTCTCTGGAATGAGTACCTAGTGGTAGCAGGTTGCATTACTTGTGGCGTGTGTTTTTTACTAACCATATGTACTGGAGTACTTTATCAGAGTGTGGCTCTTTGTTTTTATAAAGCAACTTAGTATTCAGTGTGCGGATGTGAGTTTTATGTATCTTTGTTTAGTGAGTCTCTTACTGGTGGACACTTGGGCTTATTGCCACAATGTTGCTATACAAATAGTGCTGAGGGCCTGGTGTGGTGACTCACGCCTGTAATCCCAGCACTTTGGGAGGCCGAGGTGGTGGGATCACCTGAGGCTGGGAGTTTCAGAACAGCCTGGCCAATTTGGAGAAACCCCATCTCTACTAAAAACTACAAAAATTAGCCGGGCATGGTGGCACATGCCTGTAATCCCAGCTACTCGGGAGGCTGAGGCAGGAGAATCACTTGAACCCGGGAGGCTGAGGTTGCAGTGAGCCGAGATGGCACCGCTGCACTCCAGCCTGGGCAATAAGAGTGAAACTCCTTCTCAAACAATAATAACAACAACAATAAAACAAACACAAATAGTGCTGCAGGGCCTGCCCTGGAACACGTGTGCTGCACATGTGCACGCGTGTGTGCCTGTGCCCATGTGCAGGTGGGGATGCACCCAGTGTGGGCTGGTTGTCACCAGGTTGCTCCTGCACGACTTGATTTCTCTCACCACCGACACGGATGCTGGTCTCCCAGCCTCACGTGTGGGCTTTTGGGATTTTGCCTCCTAAAGCACAAAATGGTGACCCTGATGTAGTTTGAGCATTTTAAAGTATATTAGTATTTAAGGGCTATTGATACTACTTTTTAATGGACTCTCTTAAAATGAAATGCAATGGAAATGGAAAACTAACCTGTTCAGTCGCCTCATCATACCTGTTAAATGAGGTAATATGGTGTGGTACCAGCTATTTTGATGTTTTGAAGCAGCATATTTTCATTTGCTTTGTTTTTAGCTTATAATATCTCAGTGTTACTCCCAGTCTTTTTTTTTTTCTTTTGCTATTGTAAAAAAAAAAAGTTTACTTTCTTATCTTACAGGGATCATTGCAAGAGGTCATAGGTTGGGGGTTAATAGGATGGAAATACTATGCCAATGTGATTGGTCCGATCCAGTGCGAAGGCCTGGCCAAGCTGGGAGTCACACAGATTGCCTGTGCAGAGAAGCGCTTCCTGATTCTGTCACACAATGGCTGGGTGCACACACAGGCCTACAATAGTGCCACACTGGTGAGTGTCTGGGCACTGTGCCTGCAGTGTTCCCTTGGCGGGCAGGGTCTGTACTGCAGATGCACAAGCTCTGGTCTTTCTTGAAGCCATTTGATTTGTGAAGATTGATCAGCTTCTGTTTATTGTATATTATGTTTAATGGTCTCAGCTGTAATATTGTCAAGATTTGGGTTGTGAAGGTTAGGAAGTCCTTACAGTGAAACTCATTGCTAATCATGAGATTCCCGTTTGTAAATTCATGTTCCATGTGTAAACTCATTTGACTTTGTGGCCAGGCAGGTGACAGATGAGGGAGTTGGGCCTCATGGGGATAGTGGCAAATTTTCATTAAAGCAGGGTGCTCCCTGTCAGCTGCATGTTTCTGTCGCAAGGGGTTAGCCTGCCCTGCCCCTGCATCGGCTCTGGTCTTGCCGCAGAGCACTTGGAGGCTGCCCGCTGTTCTGTTGGTGCTGGGTGGGAAGGGCTGGAGAGCCGGCCCCGTGGCCCGCAGAGACTTATGCCCCACTTCTGGTTAGAGCAGGGTTTGCTCAGAGATACATGATAAAGGAGAGCTGCGCTGATTTCATTTTCCTTGGACTGATGATGACTTTTCTTCCTATTTTTCTTTTTTTTTAGGCCCCACCGCTGGTCCAAGGCCTTGCCTCCAGAAACATTGTAAAAATTGCTGCCCATTCTGATGGTCACCACTGCATAGCCTTGGCTGCCGCTGGAGAGGTATACTCCTGGGCTTAGGGGACAGAGGATGGCTGGGCCATGGGGACACTGTGTCTGTATCGTTCATTCCTGCAGGGGACACACTCCTCTTTTATGTTACCATATCCTCGACAGGCTGGAGCGCAGGAGTGTGTGCAGGTGTTTTCCAGCTGCCCCGACGTGCAGCGCTGGGGTGGAGCGGGACACTGTGATATGCCCCCTCCTTGGTGACGGCTTCGGAACTCTCTGCCCATGTGTGGAAGGCAACGGGAATCGGCCTTTCTGCTCTTCTCCACCCCATGCAGCCTTGGCCGCCTTCTCTCTACTCAAACCGCATCCCCACTGTGGAGTTTGCCAGGACAAATCCCGCAGCACTGTTCCTTCCTTCACAAACAATTCCCCCTGTCTCCCATAGATAAGGTTCTTACCCTTTCCTTGAACCATTAGATTATTTTTACAGGAACAAAAGTCAGCAGTTTCTTCGTAATATCATCCTATTCGGTGGAATCTTTTATTGTGAAAGAACAGAAATAAAGTTGTTATAAATGCCAGGTTGTAAAAATTGGGAGGTCTGCCAGCCCCATGAGTGATGGGAACCGTCTTGTACTTTGCTGTTGTGCGTGGAACTCTGGCATTAGGTTTAAATGAGGGATGTATGTACACATCAACCCAGCAAGCCCATTTCATGCGGGCCGGAGCCCTGAGCAGGGAGCGGACAGTGCAGAATGTACAATGAGCGTAGTCATGACTGCCCTTGTGTCCTTGAGAGGAGCCTGGAGGGCAGGGGCCATGCACACCACAGGGTGGAGTTGAGGGCATCATTGCCAATGGCATCTGCTGGGAAGATCCCAAACTGGGAGAAAAGCAGAGTGATGCGTATTGTGCAGTACATGTATGCCAAGCTCAGAACAGCCCAACCCTGACAGTGTTGTAAGGGATTCAGACAAATGTAAAACGAGTGAAAAAGAAAAGATCGATCTCCATGGAATTTATAGCTGTCATTGTCACACTGGATCCTAAGGACTGGGATTGACATGGGGTACACGGGACTTGAAAGGCATTGAGGTACAGGACAGGGTGGTATGTCTGCTTATTTCCTTTAGGTATTTATTACTGACTTTGTATAAAATATTTCATAGTAAAACAATTCTCAGTGCAGAGTAAGTGCTAGGATGAGTAACTTATCCCTTCTTCTAGGACTTCAAGGAAGGAAGAGAGATCAGTGCAGATGGCAGAAGCTGGAGATAACCTTTTGGGGAAGTTGAAACTTAAGCTGAATAAGGGAGAGGTTGTACTAGGGTAGAGTCATTGCACTGTCGCTGTGTGCGCCTGTGCCACTGTGTGTATTTTGCAGACTAGTAGGTCACAAAGTGAGTAAACCATGCCTTTGGAGAGGCCTGGCTTCTATAGATTCTCAAGAAAATGTCATCCATCATAGGAATGTATCCTGGATCCTAAGAATAGGATATTTTGTTAACTTTGCAATTTCTTCAACTAGTAAGACTTCTCTACCCTAATCCCCGTTGCCTCATACTTTTCATTTGTAAGATACAGACTGCAGAGTGCTGGCTTCATTCCAGCCACATTCATTTAACAAATACATATAAATGTCAGTCAGCTTTGAGGCTTACGTACAACCAGATGACTGAGTTTCGGGTGTAGAGTTGGATGGGTTTTGGCCAGTGCCCTCAGCTGGGGAGTCACCACCATCAAGACATGGGGCGTGCCTGTCGCTTCCAGGGCCCTGTTTGTACCCTTTGAGTTGATCCCCACTTCCTCCCTCCAGTTCCTGACAACCTCCGCTCTGCCCTCTGTTGTTACTATTTTGTCTTTTCCATAATTGAAGGTAAACAAAGCCATACAGCGTGTGGTGTTTTGTTTCTGGCATCTTTCACGTAGCATGATGTCCTGAGATCCAGCCGCATTGCTGGGTGTGTGGGTAATTCCTTCCTTCTGTTGCGGATGGACCGTGGTTTTGGGCCATTGTGAAGAAAGCTGCAATGGACTTTACTGTACAAGTCTCCTTTTTTGAGATGGAGTTTTGCTCTTGTTGCCCACGTTGGAGTGCAATGGTGTGATCTCAGCTAACTGCAACCTCTGCCTCCCGGGTTCAAGCGATTCTCCTGCCTCAGCCTTCCAGTTAGCTGGGCTTACAGGGGCCCACCACCATTCTCAGCTAATTTTGTATTTTTAGTAGAGACGAGGTTTCACCACGTTAGCCAGGCTGGTCTCAAACTCCTGACCTCAGGTGATCCGCCCACCGCAGCCTCCCACAGTGCTGGGATTACAGGTGTGAGCCACCGTGCCCAGCCTATTGTACAAGTCTTTCACCCTGTTTTTGTAATTCTACTGGATACCACGCTTGGCTTCGGGTTCCAACTTAACAAAAAGTCATGGAGGTGTTAGGTGTTCAAATTCTCTCTTCCTTATTTTATAAGATTCCTGGAAGGTGAAACTGGCCTGATGCTCTCATGGTCTCCATTTGGATAGTGAATTTCCTTTGCTAACACTAATAAGAACACCAAGAAGAAGGGCATTCATGTTTATTCTCTTCCTCCCCAAGGCCTCTGGAGGAGCGTAAGGTGATCTCCGCCTTCTCTGGAAAGCAGGCCGGGAAGCATGTGGTGCATATCGCTTGCGGGAGCACTTACAGCGCGGCCATCACTGCGGAGGGGGAGCTGTACACCGGGAGCCGCGGGAACTACGGCCGGCTGGGCCACAGTGCGTCTGCCCTACATGAGTGGGAGCATGCAGCAGGAGGTGGCCTCTCACAGGACTTAGGAACAGCCGTCCTATCTGTTTGAAGGCTCCAGTGAGGACGAGGCCATTCCAATGCTGGTAGCTGGGCTTAAAGGACTGAAGGTCATGTCATCGATGTGGCGTGTGGGAGTGGGGACGCTCACACCCTGGCTGTCACTGAGAACGGTACATAGAGCTCTCGCCACCCAGGACCGGGCCTCGAGGACACGCTTGGCAGCTTCCCTGGAGGAAGTGAGATGAGCACAGTGGGCCTTACGAGGCCGCCCACCCTGTCGCCCAGTGGGTGTGGGGTCAGTGGCATTGGTGAAGAGGCCGCGGTGGTTATTTATGTGTATACTTATTTATATTATTTTCTTCCCTATACTTGCTTTGAGTTTATTTTGCTTTTGTTTATCTAAGTAGTTGAGGTGGGAGCTTATTGATTTGACAGGGCTTGTTTGCCTGGGGCCTGTCAGCAGATTAGCAGCTGTGTGGGCATTCCTGTGTGGGCATTTTATTTTTTTAAGCATGAGAGTTGGGATGGAATGAATGACACTCTGAATTGTCTCTGGTTAGTATTATTACATTTCTTAACGTTCGGCCACTCTTGATTCCGTGTGGTAATCCCTGCTAAGTCTTGCCGTGTTCTGTAGTCTGACACTGCGGTATCTGTTTGCTTTGAATTTTGCTTTTGGGTTTGTGTTCCTAACTGAGATCATCCTCATCTTTTTTCGAGGGTACATGATGAGGTTTGATGCTTAAAGTGACGTTAATTTTTTAGAAACGACTTGTCTGTCAGTATTGTGGGGGTCTGTCCTTGGCATCTTGTGTGCCTCTGGCGTTGTGGAGTCTTCCTGTGAAATCAGCTGGGGACCTGTCAGCTTGCTTTCTCTCCTGCAGAAGTTGAATGGCAGATTGATAATTGAGTGACTTTTGGGCATTTCTTAGGTCAAAGATGAAAAATCATTTCAGATACTTCCCTATATGTATAGGTCCCGCTGCCGTTGCCGGGACTGACATTGTCAGAGCCATCCTGTTTCTGCTACTGTGAGTCCTAGAGCAAAGGTGGTCTCCTCTGAAAGGCTCCTGCTCTCAAGGAGCTTTCAATTTGACATCTCGTCATTTATATCGAGTGAGTGGTAGACCTTAAAATATTTCCTGGTTAAAAGTTTTGTGAGGTCTGAGCTGTGTTAGGAGACTAGCTTTGCGTTCTTTAGTGTAGTTGCTACTTTAGGTGAAGTTTATGATGATACGTTGAGTAAACTGCCTTGAACAGGCTGCAGACAATGTCTTCCTCACACTGGTGTTTCTTTGGTACAGATCTTGTAGGGAAGTGTCCCTGCTGTGCTGTTAGTTTCTGAGGCGACAGTTACGGTAGAAGTATCCTACCCTGCAGTCTGGCCTTGGGGGACAGTGGGAAGTGCCCAGGCGGGCTACGTGAACAGCATAATCTTCAGCACAGCGTGTGGAAGTGCACCTCTGATCTCTGTGTGCGGGTCTGCTGTGCTGCTTTCATTGACCACGTCATAGTGTGTCATCTCCAGTTTCCGGTTCGCTCGGGGTCGGCCTGCTTTTGCAGGTGGAGTTGTATTGGTGTGCAGGCCTGCCCACTCATTCACATATTGTCTGTGGCTGCTTTCCTGTGACAGTGGCACAGCTGGGTTGTTGGGACAGAAAGCCCACAGAGGCTAAAAATATTTACCATCTGATCGTTGAGGAAAATACTTGCCTATCTTTAGTTATTACAAAATAGAATGTGGGAACTTGTGGAACAATCTGATATCTTATCTGATTTCTTTTTCCTGATCTTTTACAGTTTTCACCTTTATGTAATTTCACTTTTTTTTTTTTTTTTGGAAGACAGAGTTTCGCTCTGTCACCCAAGCTGGAGTGCAGTGGTGCAGTCTCGGCTCACTGCAACCTCCACCTCCTGGGGTCAAGCAATTCTCATGCCTCAGCTGGATTATGGATGTTCACCACCTTGCCTGGCTAATTTTTGTATTTTCAGTACAGACAGGGTTTCGTCATGTTGCCCAGGCTGGTCTCGAACTCCTGGGCTCAAGTGATCTGCCAGCCTCGGCCTCCCAGAGTGCTGGGATTACAGGCGTGGGCCACCGTGCCCAGCCTAACAATTCTGTTTTTTAACAATTCACTTTCATTAAGTTTTTGCAAAGTTTTCAGCTTATTTTTCATAGTAAAAATAAAACTATTTACTTTTGCAATTGTATTTTATCCCTTTATGTAATATTTAATCAACTTACATAATTATGCTGATATATGCAATTGGGAACACGTACAGTGGTACGGTTGACCAGCGGTCAGCACGGTGGCAACAGAAGCAGGCAGGCAAATGGGAGGGTGGTCCGCAAGCGTCTGCAGTGTGCCGGGCCCCAGTTACTGTGTCTCACGGAGGCAGTGGGCCTTTGGTTCTGTGAAGCAGTGAACATTGAGCCCAGGCTAGTAAGAGTCACGACTTGGTTTTTCATGTAATGAAAACAAAAAGAAAACTCCGCCTTCCCTTTCTTTCTTGCTTCTATATCAACCTCAGGTGTCACCTAGATTTCATTTGCTCAGTAGCCTCCCTTGTAGTATTAACTGTGCACACGGGTGGTCTACATTAGTGTGCGTTTTTCATTAGATTATTGTCAGTCATTTAAAATTTTTCATTAAAATGCACAGTTGTTGTTATTTAAATGCATTTGTATTTTTTAGGACAAGTGTGGTCTTGGGGAGATGATGACTGTGGGAAATCGGGCAGAGGTGCTAGTGATGGCTGCAAAACCCCAAAGCTGATTGAAAAGCTGCAAGACTTGGATGTGGTCAGAGTCCGCTGTGGAAGTCAGTTTTCCATCGCTTTGACGAAAGATGACCAAGTTTATTCATGGGGAAAAGGTGACAACCAGAGACGTGGACACGGACCAGAGGGACATGTTCGTTATCCAAAACTCTTAGAAGGCTTGCGAGGTGAGTGCAAACGTAAACTGTTAAAACCCTTCAGGACGGTTTCTTTAGTGATGTTTTAAAGTTTGCAGGTTTTGTGTTCTTGACCTGACATTCCGTGAATGGACTGTCAGAAATTTTGACAGCCGGCTTGGTGCAGGGATTGATACTAATTGGAAAGTGGGTGTGTCTCTATTACAAATGACTTTGAATTATTCTTACCAAATTTAATTTAAACCCATTGAGTTTTACAAACATCGCCACTTTCCGTGGCAGGCACCCATTCGTCCCTCAGCAGGCTGGACTCAGGAAGGGTTCCCTCTGCGTGGTGAGGTCACCTGTACTTGTACTGCAGACACACTGAGACCGTGAGGGTGCGTTGTGCTGTGGGGCCACATCAGGACGTGGGATTGGGTCCAGCTGGGACGCTCTGATGTGAACTCGTCCTTGGTGGGTGATTCCTGCTTGCTCAGTTGCAAAGGTGTCCCGCATGCATTGTGGTTGGAGGGAACAGATGGAAGCCGAGGTGTGTAGATATGAGTGCCGGCGCCTTCAGTGTGGGCTGCGGGTGCAGGCAGAGAGGATGGGGGCCTCCGCAAGAAGACCCTGAAATTCTTCTATGGTGTTCTCACTAGGGACGTTACGCTGCAGGAAGTTGGGTTGGGGGCCATCAAAACTGTGATGGCGGAGGGATTTTTCTAAGGCAAAACTGGACTTTTCTGTGCCACTTGGCCTAGTGGTTGGGAGGTAGTCTTCATCCTAGTCGAGCACTGGGGAAGGGCAGGCAAGCTGACAAGAAAGTAGGGAAGAAGGGAAAAGGCAGTGACAGGTACATCAGATGGACTCTTCAGGGTTCTCTCTCTGGGGGGTGGGCGGCCTTTTTCTTAAAGGGCCGGATTGTATTTGAAGCAGGCGGACGTGGCTGTGTTCCAACACCAGCGTCTTCACAGAAGCAGGCCTTGGGCTGCGCTCTGTGTGGGGGCTGTAGTTCGTTGGGTCCTGGTACTACACACATTGTTTGTGTGTTTGCTTCTTTACCAAGTGGGTTTGGAAGTGGGACTTTTAAGTGAGACTTGCCAGTTCCTTCCTCCATGAGTTTTATTTTAACGCATGTTAGTGTCTTGATGACTGAGAGTTTTGTGTGCCCATACGGTATGTATTATGTTCTGAGCTTCTGAGATAAGTGACAAAGTAATAAGTTTCCTCTGTGTCGTTGAATGGTGTTTGAATTTCATGTGCCTTCTTGTTTATATTCCCCTCCATTAGTATAGGAAAGCTACGATGGTCATTAGATATAGAAATCGTTTACTTTCAGAGTATTTAAATTATTGTTGATAAACACCTTTTGTTGTTGCTGATGTTAACTTACGGTAGGATCCTAGGATAGAATTGTTCCCCTTACTGCAGTGTGGTTTTTCAGCTGAGTTCTTTTATATGTTGACATTTCTGAGAAACACCCTTTGTGTTGGCCATGTTAGATTTACCAGGAAGGAAAAATAGAATATTTTGTGTTCCTGGTAAACACAATAAGTGTTTAAATAGAAACAATGTTTTAAATACTGATATCACCTAACTCTGAGAAAAAAATAGATTTCCTCTTAGGAAGCCTTCCTTAGTGAAGAGTGTGCTGTGTATTGTTATATCTGGGATGGGAGAATATGATCTAATAGTTAATTAAAAGCACCTTGTTTCTCTCTGAATGAAAATCTGAATAAGGAGGAGAAAAAAGAACAGGTCGTTTTCATATCCCAGCATTACGATCTTTGTAGGCTGTGGGTCCTAACAAATTGTAGCTAACAAAATACAGGAGTTCTAATAACACACCCAAAGCAAATGAATTGTGCTTAATATTAAAGCAACAGATTATCCCCAAGAAGTTAATATTAAAAGCTTTCTGGCCTGAATGGCCGAGTGGAAATACCTGTCTTTCTTGCAGCAGAAGTCCTAGGCTTGAAGCTGCATCTGCATCCCTCTTTCCTTGTAGGGAAGAAGGTGATTGATGCGGCTGCCGGCTCCACCCACTGCCTGGCTCTGACTGAGGACAGCGAGGTCCACAGCTCAGGGAGCAACGACCAGTGCCAGCACTTTGACACCTTGCGTGTGACCAAGCCAGAACCTGCAGCATTGCCGGGACTGGACACCAAACACACAGTGGGAATTGCCTGTGGGCCTGCCCAGGTACGGAATATAGAGCTTGATTTGGTGTTTTGGAGGATTTTGGTTTCCAGTTGTTCATTACCAGTATATAGAAAATACCACTGAGTTTTGTTTGCTGTTCTTACGTCCCACAGTTGTGCTAAACTCATTTATTATGAGCTTCATTGTCGTTTCCTTGGGTTTTCTTCATGGACAATTATACTATCTGTATAGAGGGGCAGTTCCATTTCTTCCTTTCCAGTCTGCTTGCCTTTGATGTCTTTTCCCGGCCTGGTTGCCCTGGCCAGGACTTGCGGTGTGAAGCTGAGTAGGAGAGGTGACAGTGGGCGCCCCGCCTAGTTCCGGACTGTAGGGGAGGGCAGTTCAGTCTTTCACCATCAGCTGTGATGTTGGCTGCGGGTGTTTATGTAGATGCCTTATTACCAGATTAAGGCAGTTTCTTTAATTCCCCCTTTAGAAGCTTTTAAAAAATCCTGAATGGATGTTAAAATTTGTTAAATGCTTTTAATCATCTCAAATGAAATAGTCCTGCAGTTTTCCTTCTTTAGTGTGTTAGTATGGTATATTACATTGATGATTTTTACTTTTTTTTTCTTTTTTTTTTTTTTTTTTTTTTTTTTTGAGACGGAGTCTCGCTTTGTCGCCCAGGCTGGAGTGCAGTGGCCGGATCTCAGCTCACTGCAAGCTCCGCCTCCCGGGTTTACGCCATTCTCCTGCCTCAGCGTCCCGAGTAGCTGGGACTACAGGCGCCCGCCACCTCGCCCGGCTAGTTTTTTGTATTTTTAGTAGAGACGGGGTTTCACCATATTAGCCAGGATGGTCTCGATCTCCTGACCTCGTGATCCGCCCGTCTCGGCCTCCCAAAGTGCTGGGATTACAGGCTTGAGCCACCGCGCCCGGCCCTTTTTTTTTCTTAAACTTTTTTTTTCTTTTTTAGACATAAGGTTTCACTATGTTGCCCAGGCTGGTCTTGAACTCCTGAGCTCAAGTGATCTACCTGCCTTGGCCTCCCAAAGTGCTGGGATTACAGGTGTGAGACACCGCACCAGCCTGATTTTTAAATACTGACCAAGCCTTGTATTACTGGGATAGGCATCACTTGGCCACAATTTACCACCCTATTTCTTTTCTTTTCTTTTTTTTTTTTTTGAGACAGAGTCTCACTCTGTCACCCAGGCTGGAGTGCATTGGTGCAATCTCAGCTCTCTGCAACCTCTGCCTCCTGGGTTCAAGCAATTCTCCTGCCTCAGCCTCCTGAGTAGCTCGGATTACAGGTGTGCAACACCACGCCTGGCTAATTTTTGTTTTTTTTTTTTTTGGTAGAGATGGGGTTTCATCGTGTTGGCCAGCCTGATCTCCAGCTCCTGACCTCAAGTGACCCACCCTCCTTGGCATCCCAAAGTGTTGGGATTAGAGGCGTGAGCCACCGCGCCCGGTCCTGTTCTGTTTCTGTCTTGCTAACTTTGACTTGCTAATACGTTGTTGAGGATTTTTCTGTTGATGCTCATCAGGGATGTTGGTTTGTGGTTGTCTTTCTTTGTATTATACTGTCTTGTCTGACTTTCTGTCAGGGGAAACCTGACCTTATACAAAATATTGGCGTGTATTCTCTCTGTTTCCATTTTCTATAAAGGATTGTGTAGAATTAGTGTTATTTCTTTTTTTTTTTTTGTTTTTGAGATGGAGTCTTGCTCTGTCACCAAGGCTGGAGTGCAGTGGCCGGATCTCAGCTCACTGCAAGCTCCGCCTCCCGGGTTTACGCCATTCTCCTGTCTCAGCCTCCCGAGTAGCTGGGACTACAGGCGCCCGCCACCTCGCCCGGCTATTTTTTTGTATTTTTTAGTAGAGACAGGGTTTCACTGTGTTAGCCGGGATCGTCTCTCGATCTCCTGACCTCGTGATCCGCCCGTCTCGGCCTCCCAAAGTGCTGGGATTACAGGCTTGAGCCACCACGCCCGGCCTGTGTTATTTCTTCTTTACATGTTTTTGAATCCATCTGAGCCTGGAGATTTCTTTCTATAAGATTTTATGCCAGGCGCGATGGCTCATGCCGGTCATCCCAGCACGTTGGGGGGCCGAGGCGGGTGGATCATCTGAGGTCAGGAGTTTGAGACCAGCCTGGCTAACATGTTGAAACCCCATTTCTACTAAAAATAGAAAAAATGAGTCGAGCTTGGTGGTGTGCGCTGTAATCCCAGCTACTCAGGAGGCCAAGGCAGGAGAATCGCTTGAACCCGGGAGGCGGAGATTGCAGTGAGCCGGGATCGCACCATTGCACTCCAGCTTGGGCAACAAGAGCGAAACTCCGGCTCAAGGGAAGAAAAAAAAGATTTTTCAAATTCCATTTCTTTAACAGATACCGAACTATTCAGATTACCTGTTTGTTTCTAGGAGGATTTTCCTGGTTTGTGGCACTCAGACATTGCTTTACTTATCTACATTGTCTGATTTGTACGTGTCTAGTTTTCCGTGGTGACGTCTGTGAGGCCTGCAGTGATGTCCCTTCATTCATTCCTGATACTGATAAGTTGTATCTTTTCTGTTTTTTTCTTTGTCAGCTTTGCTAGAGTTTTTCAATTTTGTTGATCTTTTCAAACAACAATCTTTTAGTTTCATTAATTGATCCCTTGTTTTTTTTGCTTTCAATCTCATTGATTTCTGCTTTTATCTTGTCATTTTTCCCTTTGGCTTGTTTTGCGTTCACTTTGCTCTTTTTCTAGTTTCTTAAGGTGGAAGCATAGATTGCTGATTTACATCTATCTTTTTTGTAATATGTAATCATTTGAGGCTATAAATTTTCCTCTAAGCAGTGCTTTAATTAAACCCACAAATTTTGGTGTGTTTTCATTTATGTTCAAAATATTTGGTAATTTCTCTTGAGAATTGTTCTTTGACCCATGGATGATGATGATGATGATGATGATGATGATGATTATTATTATTATTATTTCAAGATGGAGTTTTGCTGTTGTTGCCCAGGCTGGAGTGCAATGACATGATCTCGGCTCACTGCAACCTCTGTCTCCCGGGTTCAAGTGATTCTCCTGCCTCAGCCTCCTGGTTAGCTGGGACTACAGGTGTCCGCCACCATGCTCAGCTAATTTTTTTGTATTTTCACTAGAGATGGGGTTTCTCCATGTTGGCCAGGCTGATCTTGAACTCCTGGCTTCAGGTGATCCCCCCGCCTTGGCCTCCCACAGTGTTGGGATTACAGGCGTGAGCCACTGCACCCAACCTGACCCATGGATTATTAAGTATGTTTTTAAATTTTGAAATGTTTGCAGATTGTTCTGTTAATGATTTCTTAGGGAAAACAAACTGTATATGATTTCATTTCTTTTAAATGTGTTAAGATATATGTCTCAGGATATGTTCTCTCTTAGCGAACATTCTGTATGTGCTTAAAAAGTGTATGTATGGTTCAGGCGCGGTGGCTCAAGCCTGTAATCCCAGCACTTTGGGAGGCCAAGGTAGGCACATCACGAGGTCAGGAGATCGAGACCATCCTGGCTAACACGGTGAAACCCTGTCTCTACTAAAAATACAAAAAAATTAGCCGGGCGTGGTGGTGGCCGCCTGTATTCCCGGCTACTCGGGAGGCTGGGGCAGGAGAATGGCGTGAACCCGGGAGGCGGAGCTTGGAGTGAGCCGAGATCTTGCCACTGCACTCCAGCCTGGGCAACAGAGCGAGACTCCATCTCAAAAAAAAAAAAAAAAAGTATACGTATTTTGCTGTTGTTGGATGAAGTGTTCTATAAATTAGATCCAATTTATCGATGGTGTTCTACAGTTCTCTTAGATTTTTGCCGATGACTTGTTCTCTCACTATGAAAGGTAGTGTGTGTGTTCTATGCATCTAACAATTCATTGTCTAGTTAGAGTTGCTATTGTACCACTTCAAGTGGATGGAGATCCTCATTGCCATCCATGAATGTGCATTTATCATTTTGAGAGTGAAAAGATTATTAAAATTGCTTTTACTTTTTTAGGTATGGCCAGATGAGATGGGGCTAGTGAAATGGGCGGGAAAATTGGAAGCTGACAGTGTGTGAGCTAGACACCCATGAATGCCTTTGGACTGGGCGGTGAGAGGGATGATAGGTGATAATGTAAGGCGGCTCCATCACACATGCTGGGGACTCCTGTTGAACAGAGCAGCAGCTGCATTTGGAGATTCATTTTCGATTGTCGCATTTCCTCTTAGAGCTTTGCTTGGTCATCGTGTTCTGAGTGGTCCATTGGACTCCGTGTCCCTTTTGTGGTGGACATTTGCTCAGTGACTTTTGAGCAGCTGGATCTCCTGCTGCGGCAGGTGAGGGAGGGGATGGACGGCTCCGCGGACTGGCCCCCACCCCAGGAGAAAGAGTGCGTGGCCGTGGCAACGCTGAAGCTTCTACAACTTCAGGTGCTCACAATTTCCCTTCTTCTTGCTCCTTTTATAAGTGTCTTAGGGATTTGTAAGAAGGTTTAGGTATTTTGAAAGGCATGGGTTTTATCCTATTCGGTGAAGTATTTTAAAGTAAGATTGTAATGCGCTTATAATGGATGCGAGGCTGAAACAACTTGATCTGATTATTTTATGTTTGTGCTGGAAGTCAGCCTCGGCACGCAGGAAGAGTGTGCATGGATTGTGTTATTTTTGCTATGATGAGTGTGTCAGCATTCTTCCTGTTTTACTGTTGTTGTGTGTGGAGAAGTGACTGGGTGAGATCACAGGTGATGGAGGGAGGCGGTGCTCAGCTGAGAGACCAGTGTTGGCCCCTCTCTCCTCTGTGCTGTGAAAACCCTGCTCCAGGAGTGTCCAGTCTTGGTTTCCCTGGGCCACGCTGGAAGAATTGTCTTGGGCTACACATAAAATACACTAACAATAGCTGATGAGCTTAAAAAAAATCGCAAAGCATATCTCATAATGTTTTAAGAAAGTTTACTTTGGACCGCATTCAAAGCCGTCCCGGGCCATGTGCTGCCCTCAGGTTGTGGGTTGGACAAAGCTGATCTACTCAGTAAGCTCGGCTCCCTACAGCAATACCTTCCTTTCCTCACCATGAAGGTTATGGCTGCGGTCAAAATAAAAGCTACAAAAGTCTTCCTTCCTGGTAAAACTAAAGCTGAAGTCTTTGATCATCATATTTTCTTTGTCTTTGTCATAAAACCATATAACTTAATGATAAGAACCACGTTTTCTCGACATAGTAACTTCCCTTTTATTACACAATGATTTCTGTGTAACAACCCATCATGCCCCTCTTCCAGCCGCTCCCCTTTTTGCCCTGCTTCGAGAATCTACAGAACTGAGTGTAGTGTTTGGTTGCAGTGATGAACTGAGCAGAGGTTTGGAGTGTGCTTCTCCTCCTGCAGTCCTCTGTAGCACTCACGTGTCGCCATACCTGTGGCGTCCTGGCGTTTGCGTGGGTGCCCCCTGGTGTTTGCTGCTCCTCCTGGTTTGCAGTGATGCTTCTGTTCTGGTCAGTGCTGTGGAGCGTGGCCTTGTGTATGTCTCAGGCTGTCGAGGTGTCCCAGCGTCTGGTTTTGCATTTGCCTCTCCGGGGTTCTGAGGGTTCTGTGGGTTTCACAGACCGTAGGTGAGTTTCAACGCTCATTTCCGGACCTGTGATATCTATACCTAGGTGAGCGATATGTTTTTGATTTCACTTCTACTCACAGGGCAAGGCCGGGTCTCTGATTTCTCGTGGGGTCTCTTGCTACCCAAAGCCCGGGACAGCTGTGTGTTGCGCCCTGGCTGTGGGTGGCTGGCAGGCAGGTGATCCTGAGCGGCTCCCAGCCTTCTGCAGGAAGCTGGGGTTCAGTGGGTCCTTGTGTGCATTCCCGTGTGGGAGGTTGTTCTGAAGCCTGGCAGCTTGTCTCTGCTTTCAGAGCCCGGAACCTCTTGACTCCTGCTGTGTGTGCCCGTGTGAGTTCGGTTTTGCACTTGAGGAGTTTCCTTGTGTACTCTCAGCTCTGCAATCTAATTTTTAGCAGCTTTTTTTTTATTGAGACAGGGTCTCACTTTGTCACCCAGGCTGGAATGCAGGGTGTAATGTTGGCCTCCCAGGTTCAAGTGATTCTCCTGCCTCAGCCTCCCAAGTAGCTGGGACTACAGGTGTGTACCATCATGCCCAGGTGATTATTTATAGACATGGGGTTTCACCATGTTGGCCAGGCTGGTCTTGAACTCCATCTCAAGTGATCTTCCCACCTCAGCCTCCCAAAGTCCTGGGATTACAGGCATAGGCCACCGCCTGTGGCCGCTTTTTTGGTTACATCGTAGCCTTTCTTTCTGTGCTTGGTGCAGATTGTCGGGGTGGGCGGGGCAGGGGTTGCTGTTGCTGGTTGTTTAGCTCCTCTGCTCATCTTGAGCTTTTCCATATATGTGTTCATGGTGGGGTTAAAAAAATTCCTCTACAAAATACTTCAACTACTGTGGGTAAGAGGTTTTCTAGTCCAAGTTTTAAAAATACATAAACTGAGAAGTTACTTTATCTATTTAAATAATACTTCAAAGTGAGTTTTATTCCGTGTTTAATAAGACTTTGAAATTCACTCATTTTGAGGGGTTCTAAGTGAAAATCGTTTTTCTGCTGTCAGTTGCATGCTGCCATTAGTCACCAGGTTGACCCAGAATTGTGTGGTTTAGGTCTGGGCAGCGTCCTCCTGAACAGCCTGAAGCAGACGGCGGTGACCCTGGCCTGTAGCGCGGGCGTGCTGAGCACCGTGCAGTCGGCCGCCCAGGCCGTGCTGCAGAGCGGCTGGTCCGTGCTGCTGCCCAGCGCCGAGGAGCGGGCCCGGGCACTCTCTGCTCCCCTGCCCCGCGCAGGTGGGCTTGGGGAAGGAACAGGAGAGGGCATGGGTCACGGTGCTGGGAGGGGATGGCGTTTCACTCAAATTGGCACACACTTTCTATTTCAGTTTCAGGCAATGACGTGAACATAAGTCGAGGTTGTCAATTCATGAGTGATCTTCTGGTGGGCAGCTTGGTGGCTGCTGGAAGGTTGGAGTCAGCCTTACACGCAGCCATTACTGCAGAGATCCAGGTATGGCCTTGGAGGCTCACATGACCTGGTGGTGCTCTGAGATCGGAAATACCACACTCACACGAGAAGAATAACTGAAAACAGTAAAACTAAACTTGTCTCATATCCAAGTATTTTTTTAAACTCTTTTACGTGCTAACTTAAACAATTATTGAGATATGATTTAATTGTGCAATCCTGGGTGTTGTCTGTTTCAGTGAAGTTAACAGGTAACTTGTTCATCACGTAGACTGTTCCCGTCACCCGGGAAGATCCCTGTGCCCCTTGGCACTCACAGCCGGGACGCTCCCCTGCCCTCAGATGAGATTCATTTTCCTGCTCTGAGTGTTGCAGCAATGTAGCTGCAGAGGCTGCACTCTTTCCTGCGTTGCCTTGGAGAAGGATTTTCGGATTCACTCACACTGTTGTGTGTCTTGTGACTTGGTTTTTATTATTGGGAAGTTTTCCATTTTATAGGTGCAGTGCTGGTTGTTAGTTCATTCTCCTATTGAAGGACATTTAATTGTTTTTTGTTTGTTTGTTTGTTTGTTTTTTTTGAGAGAGGGTCTTGCTCTGTCACCCAGGCTGGATGGAGTGACCTGATCTTGGTTCACTGCAGTCTGGTCCTCCTCGGCTCAAATGATCCTCCCACCTCGGCCTCCTGTGTTGCAGGGACCACAGTCAGGTCGCGATGCCCGGCTAGGTTTTTTGATTTTTTTGTAGAGACAAGGTTTCACTATGTCGCACAGGCTGGTCTCGAACTCCTGGGCTCAAGTGATCCCCCAACCTTGGCCTCCCAAAGTGTTGGGATTACAAGCGTGAGCCACCGCGCCCAGGCTTTCTGGTTTTTGGCCGTGTAGAGCTGCCACGCTTGTGCTGTGTACAAGTACTTCAGTGAACATATGTTCTCCCTTAGGGTAAACAGTTGGAGTGGAATTTGTTAGGTCCTGGGGTAAGTAGCTGTTCATGGTTTCCCAAAGTGGCTTTGCCGTTTACACTTGAACCAGTGTGTGTGAGAATTCTAGCTTCTTGTCCTCACAAAGCAGCTGGATGCTGCGTGTGTGGGGCGGATCCCATGGGTGTTTGTGAGAGCCAGGAGCAGGGTTAAGGATTTTAGGGACTTCACAGAAGGAGGCTGGAGAGCATCAGCAGAGGCCGCGTGGACCTTGGATCTGTAAAACGAAGGCACTGAAACTGCACAATTGAGTTGGGGTTTCCAACAGGGCAGGTGTGGGCCTTACACGGGTGGGTGTGTGCGGTGGCACACACAGGCTGGGATAGCTTGGCCCTGGGGTCAGGGCTCAGCCAGCCTGTGTGCCTTCACACCTGCTAATGAGATCCCTTGTAAACAGTTTCCGTTTATGAATTCCAGGATATTGAAGCCCAAAAAGAAGCACAGAAGGGAAAAGAAGTTGATGAACAGGAAGCGAATGCCTCAACATTTCATACAAGCAGGACGCCATTGGATAAAGACCTTGTTAATACGGGAATCTGTGAGTCTTCTGGCAAACGGTGTTTACCTCTGGTTCAGCTCATACAACAGCTTCTTAGGTAAATCGTATGAGCTGTATTTTGTTGTGTTGTGTTGTATTGTATTGTATTGTATTGTATTTATTTACTTTTTTTTTTTTTTTAAGGCAGAGTTTCGCCCTTGTTGCCCAGGTTGGAGTGCAGTGGTGCAATCTTGACTCACCGCAACCTCCGCCTCCCGGGTTCAAGCGATTCTCCTGCCTCAGCCTCCTGAACAGCTAGGATTACAGGCGTGTGCCACTGCACCCGGCTAATTTTGTAGTTTTAGTGGAGACAGAGTTTCTTCATGTTGGTCAGGCTGGTCTTGAAATCCCGACCTCAAGTGATCTGCACGCCTTGGGCTCCCAAAGTGTTGGGATTACAGGCATGAGCCACCACGCCCGGCCTATTTATTTACTTATTAAAGTTTTTTTTTTTTTTTTTTTTTTTTTGAGACGGAGTCTCGCTCTGTTGTCCAGATTGGATTGCAGTGTCACGATCTTGGCTCACTGCAACCTCTGCCTCCTGGGTTCAAGCTATTCTCCTGCCTCAGCCTCCCGAGTAGCTGGGACTACAGGCATCTGCAACCACACCTGGCTGATTTTTGTATTTTTAGTAGAGACACGTTTTCAGCATATTGGTTCAGGCTCGCCTCCAACTCCTGACCTCAGGTGATCCACCTGCGTTGGCCTCGCAAAATGTTGTGATTACAGGCGTTAGCCACTGTGCCTGGCCTGTATTGTGTTTTAATAGGTGATTATTGGTTTTCATATTAAGATAGTGAAATCCAGCACAAGGATCTCAAAAATCTGGTGATAGAAGGAATATTCTGAAAATTACCTAGTACAGATGTTAGGATAAAGAGCAGACCCTTTTCAACATAGGTGAGAGGAGAATTTGGAGGGTATGATGATATTCAAAAGTTTTTCACAGAAGAGAAATTGAGGTGTGCAGTAAACATGTAAAAAGATTCTTAGTAATAAGCACGTGGATGCAAATAAAAATCATCATGGAAGGTTATTTTTAAAACTGGTTCTATCATTGCCTCACTTTATATACTACAGAGTTATACATACTACTTTGTAAGGTAATTTTTCTCTTCGAAACTAAAGTCCATGTGAAATACTGGTGAGCATTGTTCTGGAAGGCCGGACTAGGAGGAGGTGTGAAGAAGTCAGACTCAGCCAGTGGACAGAGGCTAACCTTGGCAGAAGCGAAAACGGTCAGGCAGTGTTGTCTGAACATGATCGTTCAAGAAGAGCGGAAGAGCAAGGTGATTTGTGAAAGAGATTTATTAGACAATGAAACACATTTATACCTCTATTTCATAAAAGTGTGCAGTTTGTAAACTCGTGCTCCTGATTTTTGTTTCTACACATAGAGAAAGCAGAGCCTTGGCAGGTTGGATCAGGCAGCTGAGCACAGAGCAGGGAGCCCTTGGCAGTGACCCCAGCTCTCAGCTGGCCTGTTCATGGGGCCATGGTAGGTCTACAGCGTGGGGTGTGCCTGCAGCGTGGGGTGGGCCTGCCGTCCACAGCCAGAAAAATGAACTTAGTGGACACAAGTGCTGGGATTACAAGCATGAGCCACTGCACCCGGCCATTATTACACTTAATTTGATGTGGTTTTTTGTTTGGTTTGTTTTGCTTTTTTCCCCTGAGATGGAGCCTCACTCTGTTGCCCGGACTGGAGTGCAGTGGCGGGATCTCAGCTCACTACAGGCTCTGCCTCCTGGGTTCAAATGATTCTCCTGCCTCAACCTCCTGAGTGGCTGGGACTAAAGATGTGTGCCACCATACCTGGCTAATTTTTGTACTTTTAGTAGAGATAGGGTTTCACCATGTTGGCTGGGGTAGTCTTGAACTCCCAACCTCAGTTAATCTGCCCGCCTTGGCTTCCCAAAGTGTTGGGATTACAGGTGTGAGCCACCGTACCTGGCCATGTTTATTAAGACAGCTAAGAACATGTTGAATTGCACCTGTGGCTCCACTGGTGTCCTGGGCAGGTAGCTATGTGCTGTCCACACAGGTTGTCTCCTGTGTCTTCATCTTCGCTGCGTGTGACTTTTTGGTTCTTTTGGCACGTGGAGTCCCGTATGGGACATTGGTTCTACAGTTGATTTATAATAAGGATGTACCTACTAAAAAAATAGAATAGAAACAAACATAGTTATCACCTCACCAAAATTTTGGAAAGTAGAAAAAGAAAAATGCATTCACAGCTTTTCAGTAGCCGATAGTCCAGACCGTTTCATAAGCGTGGATAATGTGTCCGTCTCCCACACCGATAGACCGTTTTCTCACCCTAAGTGTTTGTGATCGAAGGATTCTTGATGTGTTGACTTGGCGGATGCGGTTCTTGAACAGTAGTTTCTCTAAAGATTGTAAGAGACTTTTGGATACATTTCATGTCCTTTTTTCCCTTGGAAGACCTGGGTTGAAGAAATTGCTGCTTGCCAAAAATAAGCTGTGAAACAGATTTCAGACTAACTCTTTAGTTACATGCCGGCCAGGAGCCACAGAACACCATTTCCATTTGAAAATAGAGCGCCGTGAAGTTTTTGTAAGTAATGAACCCCATCAGAATTACACATTTTGATTATGGCTCTAAATTTTATATGAACGAAATAAATTAAAAATGTCACTGTATTGTATTACCGTCTCTTCCTCCTTCAGGTGTAGCTTCCACGCTAGATTCTAGCCCTGTTTCTTGTGTTACAGTGGGGTTATCCAGGCAGGTTATCAGGTAGTGAGGCTGAAAGGTGATGTCGAATGGTGTGGTGAGCCCAGTGGGGGCGCATCCTTGTGTGTGTGATGAGGGGCTGTGGGTGGCTGTGGAATTCCCAAACCCTGGCTCCTCTGTCTCCTGCTTCTGTCCTTACTCACACTGTTGGTAGTTTTCTGGTGTAAGCCACAGGGCAAGTGGGATTGACAAGCCTGCTGTCACATTAGGAACCTGAGTTAAAGGGGAGCTGAAAGCATGTCTTCCTTCGCCTTTAATGTTGTGCAGAGAGCCACTTGTACGCCTGGCTCAATGGGGCGGGTCTGGAACCAGGCCCCGGTTTGGCTCTCCTCCCCTCCATGTTGCCCTGTCCTGTCTGATTTGCTTTCACACTGACATGAGTTACTTTCCTCGGCCTCCCAAAGTGCTGGGATTACAGGCATGAGCTGCCACGCCCGGCCAGCAGCCTTTGAAGTACTGGGGTCCACCCAAGCTCCCAGCTGGTCCCTCTTTATCCCAAAGGACCTGCCACCATCTTTGGTTTCCAAAGCCCAGCGGGGTCCAGGCTCTTCAGTCTCCAACCACTTTGCATTTCTTTTCTGCTTTTCATTCATGGAGATAATGATTAACTTATTTTTCAGCCTGGGCATGTCTTTTTTATTTACTTTATTTTTTATGTTTATTTTTTGAGATGGAGTCTCACTCTGTCACCCAGGCTGGAATGCGGTGGCAGGATCTCGGTTCACTGCAACCTCCAGCTGCCGGGTACGAGTGATTCTCCTGCCTCAGCCTCCTGAGTAGCTGGGACTACAGGTGTGCACCACTATGCCCAGCTAATTTTTACATTTTTAGTAGAGAACGGGATGTTGCAATATTGGCCAGGCTGTTCTCCTGGCCTCAAGTGATCCTCTTACCTCGGCCTACCAAAGTGCTGGGGTTACAGGTGTGAGCCACCACGCCCGGCCTTTATTTACTTTCTATATCTCACCTATTACTCCTGCAGGTTGCAGAAGAGAGGATGCCCTCAACCCTAACTTCTCCAAACCATTCCAAAGGGGATGTCTGCTCCACGTCAACAGTGTTGTTGTTTTTAAAGACCATCTGTCTGTCTAGATGCCAGATTATAGCAAAAGGATGTCGAGGGAGCGATACGAATGCAAGCCTGAGAGTCCTGGAGAGAAGGTGGCAGAGCTGCCTTCCGAGGTGGTCACTCCCTCAGACCCTGCCCTTCCTGCCTTGTTCCTCCAGTTGTCAGATTGGCTGTTGGGGCCCTCACGGGGGAGGACGTGAGGCTGGACTGGGAGGGAGATGGAGAAGCTGCCAGAGGTTCTTTTGGATCTAGAATTGAGGCAGCAGTTCCAGCCAGGTCTGGAGGTGGGGGCTGCCCCCCAGCCCCCAAGGGAATGGTACCGATTCCAAAACGTGGCGAGAACTCCCTGGTCGGGAAAACTCGACCAGGGAGTTCGAGTTTGCTCCTTTGAATCACCTGAGCCCAGGCTGGAAAGCCCAAGGGAGAGGATGAGGCCAGCTCACTCCAGCTCCATCCCCTCCCTTTAACCCTGAGCTGGTCAGCCTCCCAGACTCCAGTCCCTTTTCCTAAGCGCCCTCCCTGCAGAGTCTGCACAGAGCCGCGCTCCCTCGCACCAGCTCACCCCATACTGTCTCGTCTTTCAGCAACCCCATGGGTTTGAACTTGAGATGATTCATTTTCCTAAAAGCCTCTTCGCGCTGAGGGAAGGCATGGGTGGCTCTGCGAGTTTTGAAGTGAGGGCTGCCTCTTCTCAGAGCTGCTGCGAGGGCCGGGGCCACCCTCCCAGGCGGTGTCTGTGGGCTGGGCAGCAGCTTTGCAGGTAGCCTGGGTCATCCCCACTGGTCTGGGAGGCTCAGGGACACCAGCTCCTACTCCTGATAGGGCCAAGGCACCTTCCTCACCTAAGAGCTGACTGTCTTGAAGAGTGGGCACAGAGGAGCCAGCAACCTGGGCGGTGTAGGCACCCGGGAGAACATCTGCAGCTCAGTCTCAGAGAGAAGTCTCCTCCAACACAGCTATTGTAGAGATGGGGAAACGGGACCGAGAGGGAAGGGGGCGTGCCCAAATCACCAGGCCTGGAATGTTTTGAGCTTTGGGGGTGGATCTCCCAGGAAACGTGTTTTATGGCACCGCCGCCTCTGGTCACCCACCCCGAGGTGTGGCGGGCCTGGACAGCCAGCTTGACTGAGGGTCAGGCTACTGAAGCCAAACCTACTACTCAGGAAGGAGAATCAGACCTTCTCCAGACACAGTTCAAATCTGAGGACTCCCTTCTTTGGGCCTCAGTTTCCTCACCTGAATTCCAAGGACCCTTCTAGCTCCTACACTCTGGGCCAAGCTTTCCTCTGAGCCCCAGTCAGCCTAGAGGACCAGGGCTACATCTTCCTTGGACAGAGGACCCACCATAGGGGCAGCAGGAGGTAGGGGTGGGGGTAGGCAAGGTTCCTGAAGGGAGGTGGAGCTGTCGTCAGAGATGGTGTCCGAAGGTAGTGGGTGTGTCGTGGCTCTGCTACTACTTGCTGGGTGACCCTGTGCCATTTCTTTCCCCACTCTGGACCTCAGTTTCCCTATCTGTTCTATGGAGATGAGATGCCTGCCTACGTATTTGGGGACTTGGATGTGTGTGTGGGGCAGTTGCAGTGTTTCTTAGGTGTGGTCCTGGGGCAGCCTGCACCACCCCATAGAGATTTCTGGGCCCCATCCTAGGCTCACAGGACCGGAATCTCCGAGAATGAAGCCTGAGAACTTGCATTTACACAGGCATCCGGGTGATTCTGACATGATTGCAAACACACTAATAATACGTGGCAAGTTCTTTATAAAAGGTAAATTCATAGCTGCCTTTTACTAAACATAAATCTCACCTTCCCTTGCTCAGTGAAGGACACACACCCCAGTAGAAAGTCACTGTGCCTTTCCAGATGTAGAATCTCACCTCTCCAATAAGATTCTGTGAACTGTTGCTTTCTGTAGTTTGTATTCCAAAACAAGGGGAATAGCTTTCCATTTTTTCAATATAAATGTTGAAGTCGGATATGCTTTTTCAAACTAGACACACACTCACACAGTTTAGAATTTCAGCTACGGCTTCCTCTCAAATTATTAGCCCATTTCTGCCAGGGAGCAGTTTTTCCAGACAAGACCCTGGACCGAGGCTGGTGGGGCACCCTCCTCATCAGAATCACTAGATCATGACTGACCCCTAGAGGCGGCTTCTCTGCTTAACTGTCAGCCCGTGGGCTGGGATGTGACCCCCAAAGCTGCAGCAGAAGCTTCCGCCCATCCTCGGCCCCCCTGTCATCTGTGGGGAAAGGCCTGTTCCTTGTCTTCTGAGCCCAGCCGGCCTCACAGGCATTCAGCAGATTGGAAAGGGGAAGCATGTGCTGTGCTTGGCTGGGCTCTCCTGTGCCCCTTTTTGGGGTGAGGCGGAGTGCATTCCAGCCGCAGCATCCCTGCTGTTTCTTCCCACCCCTCATCCCCACCCCCATACACACTCACAAGTACAAACACAGGCGCAGTCACGGACACACACCGCCCTGGACAGCACCATTTCCAGCCTCGGCAGTGCAGTCTCCTTACAGGGAAGTTAATGAGACACTAAAAAAGGCTCAGGGAACAGGGAGAATCTCTGTCGAGAAGAGGCTCCTAGACCCAGTTCTGTCTCTGACTTGCTGGGGGTCCTTGAGAAAGTTGCTTTCCCTCTCTGGTCTCAGTTTTCTCAGCTGAGAAATGGGGGAGGGGGCGGGCCAAATGGTCTAAGGTTCTGCGAACCTCCAAGTCAGAGCCCATAGCTGGTGGTCAAGATGAGGGAGAGGACCTCAGGGTCAGCCGAATGCCAGAGAGGCAGGACAGGCCCAAAGGTGAGCAACCTGAGCACATCAGGTGGGCTCAGAGCTGGTGCATGAGCCCCACAGCCTGCAGAGCAGCCCTGGGCTCAGGAGCCCGCTCACACCAGCCCGGTGGGACTGCAGAGATACAGGGTCCAGCTTCTCCTACTGTTGCAGGGCTGGGGCCTGGGAGCTGCAGATTCTGACCCCACAACTGCCTTAGACATGCCAGATGAGCTGGGGCAAGACACACCCCTCTCTATGAAATGAGCAGTCAGTCCAAATAGATGCACTAAAGAAGGGCTGTGGGACGGACCCAGCTGTAGCCTGGGCTACAGACAGGCTTCCAGGGTACTCAAGCAGCTGGCCTCTGGGGTAGCAGCCCCGGGTGTGAGAGGCAGGACTCAGAATCTAGGCCAAGGAATCCCCTCTGGAGAGCCCGGGCACTCTGCAGGAGGGGCAGCAGGCAGCAGGTGCACCAGGAGCACGTTTCACAAGGTGCCCCATATTGCATCTGTTCAGATAGACAGCGAGTTGGAAAGTGGATGCAGTAGGCAGGGTGGTGGCTGCTCCCCACGGCCAGGAGTCCAGCCCAGCACCACCTGAGTCCACCTCTGTCCTGCTCAATTGGGTAATCCATGTTCTGGGCCCTCTGGGCCCACCCACAGAGGGAGGGCTTTGGGGCGACCAGGTGAGCTGGCCCTTGTGGGAGGATGTAACCGACTCCTGAGCCTGGCGAGCCAGGCAGCCTGGCGCCAGCATCCCCACCCCCACGTCTCCAGCCCCCTCATTCCCTGATCCTCCCATCCGCCCCCTGCCCCAGCAGTTTCCTCTGCTCACGCTCATCTCTTTTCCTGCTCCCAGGCTCGCCTGGTCAGTGTCCTTCACTCTCCTCTGAGTCTCCCTCTTTCCAAGCCACCTCCACTCTACTTGACACATTCTCCCTTAAGACACTAGAGTACACAAGCTCAAGTCCCTGCACCTCACCTTTACTCCCAGCCATGAGAGGGAGATGACATGAAGAACCAAATGCCACTTGGCAAGAGATCTGGGGTATGCAGAGGGGCAGAGTGAGGCTGTGGAAGCTCCAGGGACTCTCTGCAGGAGGCTGCATTTCAGCTGGCTATTGAATGTGGCTCAGAGCTGACACCTCTCCTTGAAGCTCCAGACCAGGAGCCAGCTGCCAGCTGGACCCTCCATTTGGTGTCTCGGAGAAACCTTGCACTCTGTGGGTCTAACTCTGAACCCAGAAAAGCTCCGCATCTCAGTCCTGTCTCTTCTTAGGGAAAGCCTATGACCCAGTTGTGCACCACACCCACATTTGAGTCAGGGGCTCCTGCCCCGCACTGTGAGCGCTCTGGATAAGCCAGTGCCGAGGGGGAAAGAGCTCTGAATGCCAAAGCATGAGTCTCAACTCCACCTCCAGCTCTGAGAGCTGTGGGCAGGGAAGGGCGCTAGTCCACTGTGCTGTAGAAAGACCAGTCTGCCACTGTATGGCACATGGATGGCGGGGACAGAGTGCCAGTGGAGAGAACAGACAGTGGACAGGGCGGGGGAGGCAGGGACATGGCCGTAGCCGTGGAGATGGGAGGACAGACAGGACTTGGTGGCCACTTGAATGAACCAAAGGAGGAGTCTGGAAGAGACACCCAGTTTTGTATCAGATGTGTGGAGCGTGGGATGCTGTTCATTGATTGAGGGAGGAGGAGGAGGAAGAGGTGTGGCATGGGAGGAGGTAACTGAGCTCTGTCATGAATGTCATTTGAGGTTCCCGGGGAGCGCCAGGCCCGCCAGCGCCTTCACTGCTTCAGCCGGCCCTCGAGGTGCCTGTGCTCCCTGGCCCTCTCGGCTCCCACTTTGTAGCTGTCAGCTGCAGTGGGGGACAGCTGCTCAAGGGTCCAGCATGTCTGTGTGTTTACCCAGGGGACTGCTGAATGGCCCATGCCGAGCAGAAGCTGATGGATGACCCTCTGAACAAAACCCGTTACAACAACCTGATCCACCCAGCCACCAGCTCCTCACAGCTCATCTCCATCGAGACGGAGCTCTCCCTGGCCCAGTGCATCAGTTGGTAGGTGCAGAGGACACCTGTGGCTCAGGCTCAGGTGAAGAGGCAGGTCATGCCCAAGCCCCAGGCAATCAGTGTCCAGAGGAATGAAATGACTAGAGTTGACTTAGACTCACCAATACATGGCGGGGAGGCTGGAGGAGGGTCTATGAGGTTTATAGGTGTCCAATATTTAATGTGGTCATGGTTTTGTTAAAGAAGAAACGAGGGTGGGAGCGGGATCACCACTGGCCAGGCAGCCAATGGGCCTGCATAGACTCTGCTCCGCTGAGTCTCCAGCACGACCATAAGATTCTCCTCCTCATCCTCCCAGCCCCACCCTACTCTCTCCCCCAGCTTGCTCAGCAGGTGACCTTACCGGCTCCCTACTTGTTGGGGGAAATAAGAACCAGACTGGGGGAACTGATGGGTACAGAGGCCCAGGTGTAGGGGCAGGACCCAGGGCAGTGCAGCCCCTACAGAGCCACGAGGGTGAGGGTCTGGAGAGAGGGCATGGTTGCTGCAGGCATGGAAAGGAGGCGCAGATGGCGGCACTCCCAGGGACCACCGTCAGGGTCTCCATATGTGGATGTGTGCAGAGGTGGGGGTGCTGAGGGAGGGGGTGCAGGGAATTTCTCATCTTTCTCCACTGCCTCTGAGTTGGAGATGTCAGAGGGAGCCATGGCCCACTGTAAACTAACACAGTGTCCCCACCCACAGGGTTAGAACCCTCCCCTGGAAGCGGCTCTGAGGGGAGCAGTCAATGTGGGAGTGCAGGGCGCTGTGTCCAGCCAGGGGAAGGAGGACACCAAGGGGGTTGACCCTCCTCTGGCCAGGTGGCTGCCTTCTGACACACCAGCCTCTCTCTCTAGCACAGTGGCCCCCACACACCCAGCCTGTCAAACCTACAGCCCTCAAGAAGGCTTTGGCCAAATGAATGAACAGCTCCGTCTCCCAGGAGGAAGCACAGCTGAAGGATGCGGAGGACAGTAGAGTTGTGGATGCTCCGCCCCCTCTCTCCACAGTCGGACCAGAAAGAAGGGGGCTTTCAGCCAGGCTCTCCCAGGCTGGGGTCTGAGTGTCACTGTCCAGCTATTGGCTTCTTGCTTAACGGGTGAGCCCAGCTGCTCCTGTGCAGCTGCCACCCCAGGGAGGGTGAACCAGCCGGCGAGTGACATGTGTGATAGTTTGGGGTTACAGGAAAGATTAGGTTGTGGGCTGCTGGGCCAGGAAGGGGTGTTTTTTTTCAGGCTTTGTTTATCTACTGACTTGACCAGGGAGGGTTATAGGTACAACCAGTTTAAAGATGGAAATTTTGAGAGAGCAGGCAGGGACTTAGTGCTGAGTAAGGCAAGCAGGCTTCTCAAAGCAGCTCCTCTGGGGAGGCCAGAATCCTGTACCAATGTCCTCAGCACATTCATCAGCTGCTGGGGGAGTGCCGGACAGGGTTAAAGCACAGGAGAACTTTCTGGATGATAGGAATGTTCTATATCTTCAAAGGAGGTGGGATACATGGGTAATGCATTTGTTAAAATTGATCAAAATATATACCAGATCTGTGCATTTCACTGAAGATAAATTATACCTCAAATTAAAAACATTTTTTAAAAGACAGATGGGCCGGACGCAGTGACTCACGCCTATAATTCCAGCACTTTGGGAGGCCGAGGTGGGTAGATCACCTGAGTCAGGAGCTCGAGAGCAGCCTGGAAAACATGGTGAAATCCTGTCTCTATTAAAAATACAAAAATTAGCCAGGCATGGGGGCACATGCCTGTAATCCCAGCTACTCGGGAGGCTGAGGCAGGAGAATTGCTTGAACCCAGTAGGCGGAGGTTACAGTGAGCAGAGATCACGCCACTGTACTGGAGCCTGGGCAACAGAGCGAGACTCCATCTCAAAAGAAAAAAAAAAAAAAACAGACAGATGAAGGTTTTCAACTTTCACTAAAGGCAGAGTAGCTTGTTATAGATTAGCCTCCCCACAAAAGCAGTTAGAGAAACTGGACAAAAATGTGCCCCCACCACCAAAAACAACTGTTTGAAGGTAATTGGAGACCTCAGCCAGGACTTGAGTGACCAGGCCTAGGAGGTGACTCTGACAGTCTGTAGTGCTTTTCCGACATTTGGTGATTGGTGAACAGTAGAGGGCTAAGAGGCTAAGAAACTGAGTCTGAAGTGGTGGTTAAGAGGCTGGAGAGCCTGGCTGGATGTTTGGCACTCACAGGGCTGAAATGACCTCATGAGAATTTGGGTCCCAGTAAGGAGATGGGACCTTGGTGGGGACCCAGGAAGGGCCACCCCTAGGAGTCCAAATGAATAAAAAATAGACCAGCCCTCACAAAAACCAAAGCCTGCTTTCAACCAGCTTAGTCCCAAACTACACGAAGGTGATCTGCGCTTACTCCAATTGTGTGCCATAAAGTCAAAGTCAATACTCTCTGGAGGCAGATAAAATTTTACTAGCAACGCCATAAGACAAGACAAGACTAAATGAGAAAGAACAAGAAAAAAACCAGTAGAAACATACAAGAAAAAAACCAATAGAAACATACATGTAAGGAAGATAAGGAAGAAAGTTTTTTTTTGTTATTTTTTTTTTTGTTATTTATTTATTTTTTTTTTTGAGACAGAGTCTCGCTCTGTCACCCAGGCTTGAGTGCAGTGGCACGATGTCAGCTCACTGCAACCTCTGCCTCCCAGGTTCGAGCGATTCTCCTGCCTCAGCCTCCCAAGTAGCTGGAATTACAGGCATGCGCCACCATGCCCGGCTAATTTTTGTATTGGCCAGGCTGGTCTGGAACTCCTGACCTCAGGTGGTCCATTCACCTCAGTCTCCCAAATTGCTGGGATTACAGGCATGAACCACTGTGCCTGACCAATATTTTGCCACAATTTAAAATAAGTAATTTTTCTTTTTTTTTTTTTTTTTTTCAGGTTTGGGCTCAGACTATATTCTAAACAGTCACATGGCAGCTGACTCTTCTCCAGGCCTTGCTGCCGGGTTTTACATGTTTATTGTTTTTGCCTTCTTGTCATGTGCTCGGTAGATGGCAGCTTCCAGGTGCTCCTAAGGGGCCAGAAAAGAGAGTGAGAAGGCACAGAGGCTGCCAGGTCATCCCCCTCAGGGCCTCACCCTCATCAACTCTCTCAACTGGGTCTCCTGCAACTATTGGGGGGCCACCTCGGCCACCGCTTTGCCCTGAGCTTCCTGCTGCTGCAGCTGGGCAGAGCCTCCTTCTCAGAGGCCAGCTGCTGATAGGCGGCCAGGTACTGCTGCAGGGGACCCAGGGAATGGTCTCACTGCTGCTGCAGACTCTGAGCCTCTTGGCTCTTCAGCTCCACCTGCAGGATGGGCGTCAGGGTAGGCAGTGGCTGGCTTCCAGATTCTGGGCCCATAAACAGGGTGGCGAGGGCACAGTGGAGCTCTGTTATCTGCCCAGGCCCCTGGCCCCTGGCCCCTTCCTCCAGGCCTAAGTGACTGCCTCCCTTGCCTAGAGGCCCATGCCTCCCTCCCCAGCCTCAAATCTCACACCCTTCTTCCCACCATTGAAGCTGTACGCCACAGACTGGTGGAAAAGCAGAGGGAGCCAACTACCATCTGCTAAGTTGTGGTGAGTTCGCTCTGTATGATCTCCAGGGTTTGCAACCACCTCCGCCTGCTCCCCCAAAGCTCGGCCTTCCGCCCCAGCTCCCCCAGCCTCTCCTCCAGCTCCTGCAGTCTCACCTCCTGCTTCTGCATCTTCTCCTCCTGCTGCCACAGCCTCGTTTCCTGCTCCCGCATCTTCTCCTCCTGCCTCTGCATCTTCTCCTCCTTCTCCCACATCTTCTCCTCCTGCCTCTGCATCTTCTCCTCCTTCTCCCGCATCTTCTCCTCCTGCCTCCGCATCTTCTCCTCCTGCTCACATATCTTTTGCTCCTTCTCCCATATCATCTTCTCCTGCTCCCACATCATCTTCTCCTGCTCCCGCATCATCTCCTCCTGCCTCCACATCTTCTCCTCCTGCTCCCCTAGCTTCTTCTCTTGCCTCCACATCTTTTCCTCCTGCTCACACATCTTCTTCTCCTGCTCCCACAGCTTTTCTTCCTGCTCCCGCAGCATATCCTCCTTCTCCCCCAGAATCTCCTCCTGCTCACACATCTTCTCCTCCTGCTCCCGCAGCATATCCTCCTTCTTCCCCAGCTTCTCCTCCTGCTCACACATCTTCTCCTCCTGCTCCCGCATCATCTCATCCTGCTCCCGTATTATCTCCTTCTGCTCCCGTATCTTCTCCTCCTGCCTCCGTATCTTCTCCTCCTGCTCCCGTAGCTTCTCCTCCTGCCTCTGCATCTTCTCCTCCTGCTCCTGCCTCTTCTTCTCCTGCTCCCATATATTCTCCTGCTTGTGCATCTTATCCTCCTGCTCCCGTATCTTCTCCTCCTGATTGTGCATATTCTCCTTCTGCTCCTGTATCTTCTCCTCCTGCCTCCACATCTGCTCCCGTATCTTCTCCTCCTGCTCCTGTATCTTCTGTTCCTGCTCTTGTATTTTCTCCTCCTGCTCATGCATCTTCTCCTCCTGCCTCCAAATCTTCTCCGCCTGCTCCCACATCTTCTCTTCCTGCTCCCGCCTCTTGTCCTCCTTCTCCTGTGTCTTCTCCTCCTGCTCATGCATCTTCTCCTCCTGCCTCCAAATCTTCTCCTCCTGCTCCTGCCTCTTCTTCTCCTGCTCTTCTATCTTCTTCTTCTGCTCCTGTATCTTCTCCTCCTGCTTGTGCATCTTCTCCTCCTGCTCCCTTATCATCTCCTCCTGCTCATGTATCTTCTCCTCCTGCTCATGCATCTTCTCCTTCTGCTCCTGTATCTTCTCCTCCTGATTGTGCATCTTCTCCTTCTGCTCCTGTATCTTCTCCTCCTGCTCATGCATCTTCTCCTCCTGCTCCCGTATCTTCTTCTCCTGCCTCCACATCTCCTCCTGCTCTTGCCTCTTCTTCTGCTCTGGTATCTTCTCCTCCTGCTTGTGTATCTTCTTCTCCTGCTCCCTTATCTTCTCCTCCTGATCATGCATCTTCTCCTCCTGCTCCCGTATCTTCTCCTCTTGCCTCCAAATCTCTTCCTGCTCCTGCCTCCTCTTCTCCTGCTCCCGTATCTTCTCCTCCTGCTCATGCATCTTCTCCTCCTGCTCATGTATCTTCTCCTCCTGCCTCCACATCTTCTCCTCCTGCTCCCGCCTCTTCTCTTCCTGCTCCCGTATCTTCTCCTCCTGCTCCTTTATCTTCTCCTCCTGCTTCCACATCTCCTTCTCCTGCTCCTGCCTCTTCTCCTACTGCTCCCGTATCTTCTCCTCCTGCTCTTGCCTCTTCTCCTCCTGCTCCCGTATCTTCTCCTCCTGCTCCTGTATCTTCTCTTCCTGCCTCCACATCTTCTCTTCCTGTTGCTGGTACAAGCGGTTCCACAACTCGTTCTCTTCCACCTGGGCTTGGAGCTTCGCGGACACACTCTGCAGCTCCTTACCCAGGTGGTCAGCCTCCTCCTGCAGCTGCTGCTGGAACAGTGAAAGTGTTGGTTTGAACCTCAGAAGGAAACAGACTCATGGGATAGTCATATAAATGTAATCTATCAAACAATGGTTTTCACCCATGATCCTTTAAAATATATATTTTTAAGCCCTAACTCTGAGATTCTGATTCCCCAGGCAGGGCCCCACTTTGTAGATTTTTAGCACACTCTAGAGGATTCTATGGTGGGACCAGAACAAGGGCCCAAATTTTCCAGCTCTTGACTGGAGCCTCCCCATAGCCTGCATGATCCTAGACCATGGTCCCAGCCGGACGGGGATCCCACAACCCCCGGGGCTGTAGCTGCTTGCCTGTGGCAGCAGGAGCTTGGCTTTCTCCAGCTTGCTTTCTAGCTCCTTTACATTGAGCTGGATCTCAGACTTCTCAGATTCTACAAGTCGAAGTTTTTCTTGTAGTTCGGCATTTTTCTCCTTCAGCTCATCATCGGTTATGCTACAACCAGAGGCGGTAGATAAAGGAATGAACGAAGAACAGAAAGGACTGCTTTGGTGATCAACCCTCTACTTTCACCCCACAACCACAGAACCGTGGCATTGGATGGGACCCCAGGAATTAAAAGCCCCAGGTGGCAGGCCAGAGAGAAGACATGAGTTGCCTGAGGCTACCGCATGAGTCAGTGGCACAGCCGGCACTAGAGCTTCCCTGTGCACACATGAAAACCTGTATGAGCCTCTCACCATGCTCACCTGTACCCCCCACCTCTCAGCACATCCCCCACGCTAAGAGCCCCCAGACCTCCCATCCCACCGTCCCCCATCCTACGTGTTCCTGTACAGTTCCAGACTCAGGGCATCCCTCTCCTTTGTTAACTCCTCGATGTACTGCAAATAGAGAAAGGTGAAGTCAGGATAGAGCAGGCAGAGGAGCGGCTGGCCGACCAGGAACAACAGCCACCGTGACCACTCCACACACCACTCCCCACTCCCAGTCACACCTGACATGCTCTCAAGGCACTTCCAAGCCCAGGGTCTCCTTTGGTTTTCTTTTTGTTTTGTTTTGTTTCTTTCTTTCTTACTTTTTCTTTTTCTTCAGGCAGAGTTTGACTCTTGTTGCCCTGACTGGAGTGCAATGGCGCAATCTCAGCTCACCACAACCTCCGCCTCCCGGGTTCAAGCAATTCTCCTGCCTCAGCTTCCCGATTAGCTGGGATTATAGGCATGTGCCACCACACCCGGCTAACTTTGTATTTTTAGTAGAGATGGGGTTTCTCCATGTCCGTCAGTCTAGTCTTGAACTCGCAACCTCAGGTGATCCGCCAGCCTCGGCCTCCCAAAGTGCTGGCATTACAGGCATGAGCCAGAGCACCTGGCCCTCATTTGTTTTTCAAAGAACTCAGTAAAGGTGGAAGGGACAGGGAAAGAGACTGAATTCATGGATGGCTAGCAGGGGCCCAGAGACATCAGATGGTATTGCTATTGTTCTTACTGTTACTACTACCACTGTTGGAACCTTTACTGACTGCTTCACCAGGCACTGCGCTAACAATCCCATTTCATCCTCACAACCTCCATAGGAGACGGTTACCATTATTACCTCTATCGTATAGATGAAAAACATGGGGTATTAAGGGTTAAGTGCTTGCCTAAGATCACGTAGAGCTGGGATTTCAACACCCAGGTATATCTGATTCTCTAAGCCCATTCTTTCCCTGGGGGTAGGGGCAAAGATAAGGAGGAGGAAATTAATCATTTGTTGACATTTTGAAAGGATGATACGTTCGAATCGTCCAAAACTCAGAAAGTACAGAAGGGAAATATCTCCCCCCAACACTGTTCCTCTCTCCTGAGATGTTTATGATCCTTACAAACATGTTTATTGTATATTCCCATAATACACACACACACACACACACACACACAGAGGCTCCCTCTCTCAACACAAATAATAACATACTCAAGCTAGTCTTCTGTACCTTTATAGTACAAGTATCCTAACCGCCACTTGGGACTTGGCCAAGACCACAGTCAAATATGGGCAGGGCGGGCACTTGGCCTGTGAGCTCTATGTCCGGTGCTCACTCCCCACGGCGCCCCCCAACTCACCCACAGCAGCCGACTCAGCCCCTGTCAGCCTCTAACCACCACACACAAAAGCAGCAAGAAATGGCCATGCTGTCTTCTGGGCAGGACACTCCATCCTGCAGAAGGGACTTTTAGGCTCACTCCTCCATCTGTGAAGCCGGGTTCCCAGGGGATGGGGCAGGGGGTTGGACTCACCCTGTCAGCCTTCTTCTTCTGTGTAGCAACAGCAGAGAGATCCCGCTCTAAATCTCTTACAAAATTCCATGAATCATGCAGGCGGCCGACCAGATGCCTGCACTCTCCTGGAATGAGAGACATTCAGATGCGGCCCAAAGGACTCCCCATAAAGGCCTGTCAAAGTGCCAGGTTGAAGGATGATGGGGTACCAGATTCCCACCTTGCAACTGCTGGACAGCACGCTCGCTGTAATAGAGTGCCGTCTGAAGCTCAGTTTTCTCACATGTAAGGATTCGTATGGTATGAACCTGGGCCTTTGGGGAAAAAAAAAGCAAGTGCTGAAAGAGAAGCAAAGAAACGTTCTCCAGAGGACAGGAGGGAACTTCACACCCTCCACTCACCTCTAGCTCCCTCCTTAGGGCATCCTGATGTTGGTGGCTTGCCTTCTTTTCCTATAGAAAGAGGAAGACAGAGCTCTCACTAGGGGGAAGCAGAGATGGCACAGCAAGAGACATGCCCCCAGAATGGCACCACTGCCCCAGGACAGGCCCACCCATGGGACCAGGTTATCAGGAACCCTGTGGGGACGGGGTGGGATCTGGGGGGTGTGCCTTCTTCCCCAGGCTGGGAGTGGGTGAGACGAGACTGGGGCCTCTATGGCTGAGTGTCCTCCAAACCCAGCAGTCATGTGAGCAAACAAAGAAATCACGTCACTTCTTCCAGCTGGGCTCGGGTCTGCTGTTTCTGTGGGGAGAATCAAAGGAAGGTGACTGAGGGTGGCCCCTTTGACTCTATTCCCCAGGCCAGGAAGTGGTAGGCAGGGGCCAGGGATGGATTTTAAAGGTAAAGTTCTCAGACCCAATGGGAACACAAACTGCTAAACTCTCCTCAACTCCCAAAGAAAAAGGACTTGGGTCTTTGTTGGTTTTTGCCCACAGCCACAGAACTCAAAGTATGAAACTAGAGTCTCTCGAAAAGACAGTCACAGAAACCTTCAGAGATGGAGTGTGAGAAAAGCCCACCCTTCTGCCAGCCTGTGATTTAGAAAGGTGCCTTCATTCAACAGACATTGACTGAGCACATACGGGCCAGAGACAGTTCTTCACAGCGGGAGAATAGGACGGAAAAGGCAGACAGGAACCCTCGGTCCCGAGGTTTCCATTCCAGTGGGCCTTTAACTCTCCGACTCTCAGAGCTAACAGACACCTCTGATACTCTCTAACTCTACCTCAGGAAACGCAAGCCAAGAAGGAGACTTTACAGTAGGCCGTGGACTAGGGATTAACATAAAAACAACAATGATAAATCTCATTTAAACTTCACCAATGTAGGTAAAACCAAACCACTCCTATTTTACAGATGTGAGAAGAGAGGCCCAAAGAGCTCAAGGAATTTGCCCTCTATCATATCCCCAGCAGATGGAGAGGATTCAAACCCAGAATTCTTAAGCAGTGCCTGGGAGTTCTTCCACAATCTTAACAATTACCCTCCACCACCCCTTGGGCCCTCTGTCCCCAGGAGCCTGGCCAGCCAAGACTCACAGCCTCAGGTGAGTGGCAACCACCAGAAGTGATTGTCTCAGGGTTAGCACCGTTATTTATGTTCTTCTTTTTGGTGTTGCTTGCTCCTGTACCAACACTAGGGTTGGCCTGGGGATGGTAGTCTCTCAACTGTGGAAAGGAAGAGCAGTGATATTCATGAGAACTACAAGCTCCTATAGTCACATCCTGCTTTACAGTTTCTACAAAATACTCTTATGCACCATCTGATTTAATGCCACCAACAACTGTAGGAAGTGTTGTCACAATCACTTAGTGACTGAGAGGGATTGATACCATGGCTGAACAGAAGGCACTAATGGAACTTAAACTCAGTCTTCTGACTCTGAGCTCGGGGATTTTGCCACAAGTCAGCAGCTGCCAGGGACCAAAATCAGAGGCAAAGGCAGAAAAGCAAATATCAGGTAGGCAGGAACTGTACACTGTGTGGTTTAGAGTCATACACCCTCACACGTCTGTTAATGTGAAGAAGTGCACCAGTACTTCTCAAAATGTATATTAATGTATCTTCATGGCAGAAGGCAGCCTTTCTGTGAAATCTGGGAATTTAACAGAAAGAGGACAACCCAACCCTCATTTCAGAGAGAAGTCTTGTATATTCTTATAAATCCTGTGACTGTCACCCCTAAGTACATTAATGTTTTGTTTCTCAGTAGACTCAAAGGAAACTGATGCTTCAGAAAGATGCCCCATATTTATCCTGTGGCACTCAAAGTACCCCAGGTGGAGATGAGATGAGGAAGATTCAAGCTGTCAAGTTCAGTTTCCCAAGATCTGTTCCACAGAAGATAGGCAGATCTCACTCCAGCAACCACTGACTGAGGGGCACTCTGGTCCCAGAACAATGGAGAATTCAAATCTGAGGTGGAGAACTCAGAAACAATGTTCGAGTGTCTCTGGAGAGTAGAAGCCTGGGAGAAAATCAAACTAAACCCGTTCTCCCATTGCCACCCAGAGACACTGTCTATGTGTTGAGCTCATGGGGGAGGTGTAGGCTTTTCACACTGTCAACGTCTGTGTTAAGGAAGTAAGGCAGCCTGAAACCTCTCTCTCCTAGGTCCCACAGTCCCCAATCCCCTTCCAGCTGGAAACCTGTGCTACAACCAGAGGAACCAGAAATGGGCAAGAACACTTAGGGGACTGGGTCCTAAGACCAAAGACCAGTCTCGTGGCAGTAATGACAGTTCCTAGAGGGACTGCGACATCACTACATTCCACTCCTCGGTGGAGGGGTGGGGGGGACACATGAGTGCAATGACCAAGCTCCCAGAGATTGGGGAGGGGGGGTCACAGGGTTGGGACCCAGGTCCTTGGACATGCAAGCCCAAAGCCCAGGGAGGTCAGGCTTTGTGTGGCGGGAGGTGAGGGCCGAGTATGGAGCGGGGAGCCCCGGGAGTCACCTGTCCAAAGTGACCATGGGGCAGCTGGTGAGGGCAGGTTCTAGGGCACCCAGGTCCCTGGAGACGTGAGCCCAAAGAGCCCAAGGAGGTCGGGTGTGGGGTAGCAGGAGGTAAGGGCAGAGTATGGCGTGGGAAGCCCTGGGAGTCACGAGCTCAAAGTCACCCAGGGGTGGCTGGTGAGGGCAGGGGCAGGACTCACGAGGGGGTTGGCTGGCTCACAAGATTTTGGTGTGGGGAGCCCAGAGGCACTGGGGGGTTCCCAGCCTGGTGTGCCTCAGCACTGGCAGAGACTCTGGCAGCAGCTTGACTGTCAGAGGGCACCTGGGGCTGGGTTGGGGTGCCACAACCTGGTGCGTTTTACCTTTTCCTCGGCCTTGGCCAATTTGATCGGTCGGGTTTCTTCGGACATCATGGGATGGGTAGGGCGGTGGGGTTGGGGCCACATCAGCACAATCCAGGCGAGGACAACTATACACCTCCAGTCACCTACCAGGTAGCTGTGTGACTGAGCCAGAGGAGGCGTAACCAGGGCCACACTAGAATGCAGAATGGGGCGTGGCCTTAATGCTTCAAACCTATTGGTCAATGAGAAAGATGCAAGGGAAAGGAGGCGTGGCCAGACAGCAGCCTGTCATGAAGAACCTGTGATGTCACAAGGAAACCCGCCATGTAACCTCTGTCCCCGCCCACTCCAGGAGAGGGGCGGGGCTGGCTTTCACTTTAAAGACTTTAAAACTTTATTACCTCAATTGAGGTACAAATCCTATTAAAATGGAAATTTTATAGTGTGCTTGATGATTGATAAAGCAGACTATATTATCCAACATTCCACTAAGATAAATAATCACAATGATTTCTCTTTTTTGGAAAACCTTTCTCTTATTCTCCTACATTATTGTTAAGGGTTTTTTGCTTTTCTAAAAATACAAAACAAAAAAACAAAAAAGAAAACAAGAAACATGTCTAGTATCTTTAAAAACATACAGCTTGTGAGCCAGGTGTGGTGGCTCACGCCTGTAATCCCAGCACTTTGGGATGCTGGGGTTGGTGGGTCACCTGAGTTCAGGAGTTCAAGACCAGCTTGGCTAACATGATGAAACCCTGTCTCTATTAAAAATACAAAACTAGCTGGGCATGGTGGCAGGTGTCTGTAATCCCAGCTACTTGGGAGGCTGAGGCAGGAGAATCCCTTGAACCTGGGAGGCAGAGGTTGCAGTGAGCCAAAATCATGCCACTACACTTCAGCCTGGGCTACAGAACAAGACTCTGTCTCTAAATACACACACACACACACACACACACGCACACACACACTCACGGAAAACTTTCCATTTCATAAGCACTCAAAGTTCTTTACAAGTTTAAAACAAATACAGGACCCTCTAAAGTAAGGCTAAATGTTAAGTGATGCAGGAGAGAAAAAGGACATAAATAACTCCCAATCTCATGAGTTTAATCACTAAATCCTATTTTTCTAGAATCACCTGGCCTCTCTAATCCCTCAAAATGAAACTGAATTTCTCACTTGATACGTGGCTATGACTTGCAATCATGAAAACCAAGAGTTGTGTTCTGTCACTGTGTAGTGCTTGCTACCTGGGATCAAGGGTTGACTTTTTCATGATTTGCTCCATTACCTGTGTGCTTCTTATCCCAGACCAAACTAAGCTTTTTTCTAAAGTTCTACAATTTACAGTTAGTAGATAAGAGTGGTTCTCAAAAATAGAGTCTCTGAACCAGGAGCACCTGGGAATGTCTTATAGATGTAAATTCTCAGGCCCACCCTAGACCTCATGAATCAGAAACTCTGGAGTAGGGCCCAGCAATCCAGGCTGCAATAAGCCCTCCAGGTGTTCAGGAACCGCTGGCATACAGCAGGTAGAAAAATGTGTTTCCTTCTGTAGGTCCAAAGCCAGGGATACTATATGTTCTATCTCGATATGAAACAGTGACATGCGATTAAAAGACATAAATCTCCTTCCTACTTCCACCCTCCAGCCAATGTGTTTTATTTTTACGAGTTCAAATAGAAAGTGAATGGCAATCAGAGATTTCGTCTAAAAAGTATGTTTACAAGTATCAGTTCTCATTCAGCCTGATCTCATCCAGTATCATTTATATCCTCTTACATGTAATATTGTAGAAAAGGATCTTCACAATGTAAGACTAGGGCACACTAGAAGTTCTATGATAAAAGACCAACTAGATCTGAATGTCCAGACTTCCTAGAGAAGAAAAGTGGAATCACTTGATCTCCTGTCCTCGTGATCTGCCCGCCTTGGCCTCCCAAAGTGCTGGGATTACAGGCATGAGCCACGGCGCCTCGCCTTATTTTGTTTCAAGGAGTGCCTTTTGGTAAGGGTGCCCAGGAGGAGGATGACTGTGGAGATGGGCAGGTGCCCTCCCTGCTGTGCAACTGGCTGACGTCCTGGCCCGGGGCTCTGCCCAGGACTGCGGTGTGCCCTTTTTGCAGTTCCCCTGGCGGTGGGTGAGCCCAGTTCTCTCCACCAGCTGAGGCCCAGGCTGCAGTGGTGCTGGCCAGAGAGAACGGAGTTAGCGGCCCGGGACCTGCGGCAATCCACAGCAGGAGTCAGAGCCTGACTTTCCCGTCTGGGGAGTGAGACGGTGGATCTCGTGGTGTTCAAGGATTCATCCAGCTCTGTTTTCCTGTGCCAAGGGTTTGTCCCAAGACCTGTGGCTGATGCCCTGGACTCCAGCCTCTCTATCCAAGGGAGCAGGGCCAAGCTGAAGTCGGCCTCCGCATTCCTGACTTTTCATCCCCATCCTGAGCTGCCTGTCTCTGGCTTCCCCATCAGTGCTGGTGCCCCTTGAGGAGAAGCCTCCCAGAGGAAGAGTTGGCCAAAAGGGGTGTTTATGTGTGACTTGGAAGGCAGAAGGAAAGAGACAGCAGTTGCTGTCTGGAGGCGGCCATGGCTGTCCAGTGTCACTGGCCAGGTCGAGGTCCATTCTGCCTGTGCACAGCAAGTCCATCACTGTGACATGTGTTTTGCAAAAGAAGAAAGATAGATTCACAAGACCGCCAAGTGAGGAGGTGGGAGAACAGCGCTCAAATCCTTATCTCCCTGGAGATAAGGCTGAGGGCTGTTTCTAGGTTAGGGAAGTGTGATGGTCTAAGATGTGGCGGGAGGTGATTGGCAGTGGGGAAAAATGAAGTAACAGGTTCATTTTGTGCAAGTGTTATCAGGCAGCTGGCCAAAGTTGGTGGCTCTGGGAGGCAAAGGCGGGCAGATCACCTGAGGTCAGGAGTGTGAGACCAGCCTGGCCAACATGGTGAAACCACGTCTCTATTAAAAATACAAAAATTAGTCTGGACACGATGGCTCATGCCTGTAATCCCAGCACTTTGGGAGGCCGAGTCAGGTGGATCACGAGGTCAGGAGATTGAGACCAACCTGGCTAAAACGGCGAAACCCCATCTCTACTAAAAACAAACAAACAAACAAAAAATTAGCCAGACATGGTGGTGGGCACCTATAGTCCCCGCTTCTCAGGAGGCTGAGGCAGGAGAATGGTGCGAACCCACGAGACGGAGCTTGCAGTGAGCTGAGATCGCACCACTGCATTCCAGCCTGGGTGGCAGAGCGAGACTCTGTCTCAGAAAAAAAAAAAAATACAAAAATTACTTGGGCGTGGTGGTTGCACCTGTAATCCCAGCTACTCGGGAGGCTGAGGTGGGAGAAGTGCTTGAACTCAGGCGGCAAAGGTTGCAGTGAGCTGAGATCGCGCCACTGCACTCCAGTCTGGGCCACAGAGCAAGACCTTGTCGCAAAAAAAAAAAAAAAAAAAAAAAAAAAAAGGGTCATCAGGCTTCTTGGCATTTCATAGGACATAAGTACAGAAAATGGTGGCATTAGCATGATCTGAAGGTGGAGTGTTGGGCTCTGAAGGTGGAGTTTTGGACCCTCTCATGTCAAAATGGACCTTTTCTCAGGCACGTGCACGGGTCCAGTTAAAGGGTCAGTGGTCTCAACCGGTTTGAATTGGACAGGAGTTGGCCCAAGGTCCTGAAAGACAATGGAAGCACCATGGCCATGGTGATCTATGAATGTTATCTATAAGGTAGCCAGTGAAGGTTGAGTTTCAGCGGTCAGTGTACCGTGGCCTTCGGGTTCATGGAAAAAGGAAAAAACAATAATACGAAGCAAGCGGCCGAAAGCAAGCAGGGTAGGCCGCCCTGCACTGTGACCTGCTGTAGCCCCAAGTCCAGCACCAGTCACTTCATCACAGACCCACAGATGGGGGATCCACAAGGCACAGTGGCCCAGAGACCTCTCCAGGTCTCTTAGGTGGCTGGGCATGTTTCAGCTTCTCAGAGTGACTGATTGGTGACCTGCTCGCTCGCTGATGCTCCAGCTGCCTCCCCACACCTCCAGTTCCCAGCCCCTCCACAATCCTGTAAGGTCTAATTCCACAGCAAATCCCTTAGCCCGTTCTCACATGGTTCTGCTTCTTCCCTCACTGAATCCTGACACTCAAGGTGAGCGTAAGCGGCGAGCGCTCTCTGGGCCCTGGGAATGCACCTGAACCAGGATGCCCCTCCCCAGGGGCCTTCCCTTCCTCAGCAGCTCCAGAGGGAGGCTTGCTTCCCTCCGCCCTTAGCAGAATGATTTGTTAAAAGGGTCACATCAGCCCCACACTAGCCCGAAAGGCCTCAGGGACAGGGCAGGGTCTTCGATCTTCATCTCTTAGGGCGGTGAGGAGGAAGCCACAATATACTGGGTACCTGCTTGGTGCTGGACACTTCATCATTTTATCCTCGCAAGAAGCTACCGCCCCAGCTTGCAGTGAAAAGCTGATAGGGAGGGAGGTTGCTGGAGCTGGAGTTTGACCCCACACTTGAACCCACGCGTACCAAGTACCAAAGCCCGCAGGTCCCTTGACCTGCCCACCTGCCCACAGCTGCGGCGGCAGGGATTTCTGCCCATGTCTGGCCTCTGCTGGGCCCTGAGGTCCTGGCTCCCGGGCCTTGCTGCTCTCTGCATCCCATGGCTCCCCCTAGGAGGAAGGAAGTCTTGGAAAGGATGCATTCACCTGTCCAGTCTCTATAATAATTATTATTTTATAAATATACATACATATATATTATTGCTATATATATTCTCTGAGCACCATTCTGAATCTTTGTGTTCCACACACATTTTCTCTACCAATACCTTTCACTCCATTTTTCTGCCCAGAAATCCTGTGTCCATCAAGTATCAGCTCCAATTGTATCTCTCGATGAAGCCTGTCCTGAGCACTCATAGAATTCATTCGTCCTTCCAGTGTACTCAAGACTTACCTCTGTAACAAGCGCATTTGGAATACACTGCTTATTGCTTCACCAAGTCTTATTAGGTGCTTCACTGATAGGCAATTAGGTGCGCACCTGTAATCCTAGCTACTCAG